GGAGAAAATAGAATGGTTACAAATCTGGTTCCAACATGGCGTAGATTGCGATCAACGATTACTTTGATCGTGTTTTCATAGTTAAGAGTGAAATCAAAGCTCCCTTTTGTACAGTTCCGTAGTCTACAAAGAACTCTTTATAGTTTCGCCATGTCCGTCCGTCTGTCCGCAACTTAGTCGAGGAACTCTTAGTACTAGAAAAGTGTAATTTGGCATTGATATACATATTAGTCATACCGACATTTTTTTCGAATAATATCGAAAATATGTGTAATATTAAGCTTTAAAGTGTTAATTTTTGTTAGAGTCAACTGTCCCAAGTTAACCAAATAGTTGTTTTTGTATATGTGAAAAAAATCCCGGTAGTAGTGTGTATATATTAGTTAAAAGGAAAACTATCCACAGCTAAGTAGGCTTTACAAGTTTACGAGTAATAGTCGAGTTAATAGTAGAATTGGGGAAGTAAAAATTTCGTACAAATTCCATTGAAAATTACTTATAAAACGTTGTTAGCTGAATAAAAAAGGTAATAAATATAAGTTTATGAACCATGTAAAAATATACAAAAATAATCATAGCATTTTTGTCATTTTAGACGTTATGAGCCGCCGAAACCGTTAACGTCAAATGTGCGTAGTATAAAACAACAAAAAACCCCCTTCTTACTGTTAGTCCGCATTATTGTGATGGGGCAATGACGGAACCCTACATTGCGCGTGGCCCGACACGCACTTGGCCGGTTTTTTAATACTAATATTGTATTGAGGCAGATCTCAATAGTAGTATAAACATTTATTAAAACTAAAAGCTTGTTGATTTTATAGAATACAATTATAATGCCAAGTCGCTTTTAGATTTTCTAGATAATTCTAATTAATATTTTTATTGATCTATTGCAATATTCTATTGAACAACTAACTATTAAAAAAAGTTTATTACAATAAAGATCTCAAAATTTAACATCTTGTCTTCTATATACCTACCTCAATAAGAAATACATAATAGACTTTGTTTATTGTATTTCTTCTAGGCTTACTTAAGCACATTGACAATTTATCAAGAGAACTTCCTTATTTTATATTTGGGCTGTCATAATAGAATATCTTACGTGACTGCTATTACGTGTTAAGCCTTCATGGCCAACAACAAAAGCCTATGGTTCATTTGGTAGGAAAATATTTAGTACAACTTGTAAGGTATGTAATGCAATTTTTATTGTACGAGTATATATATGTTGGGTCACTACAAACTGAGCGAAATGTGTCGTCGGTCAGTTATTAAATAGGTGATAACAATATTAAAAGGCATAAGTTTGTTATTTAAAAGATTTAAATACAAACAACAACTTAAATAAAATTAAAATATTATGAGGCCAAAATCCTATTTATAGTGATATTATCGATAACAATTGAAAAATAAATGAAAGCTACGCAAGTAAGTTCTACGCACCGGTTCTACGGTCCAGCGGGCGATTTTTGTTTGGCATTTTCTATTCAATAAGGGCGGAAACTCGGGAAGGAACAAAATATACACTGGTAAAGTAAAATGTTGAGGTGCAGTACTAACAGAACCACAGTCGGTCCGCGACTAACGTGTAAACAACTCGTATTTCCCGTTGCATTCGCGCGCCAAAGTCAGTTCGAAATCTGCAGTGACTTTTTGAATTTAGAACTGTGTTTGTGTTGATTAATCTTTCGGCCAGTGGACGTATTGAAACTTTTTGGTGAGACATTTTTTTCAATATTTTATTTAAATAAAATAATTTTGAATAAAACATATTATACTTATTTTTATAATAATAAAAATTAATAAAATGGCTATAAAATTATAATTATTATATAAAGGAATAATAGTAGAGACGAAAAAAATAGTTTTTAAATCAAATTTACTTCTAATTTAGGGTTAATGCCGAATAAATCGATACAGTTTAATAAAATGTTTTCCAACTGTTTTTATATTCAATTTCGTCGTACAAATAATGTCATTTAAACATACACTACGTTAGTGTATCTAAATTACATGTATCTAAATTTGTTTGAATTATAGACTTTTCTTTTTTAAATTACAATGTTTTTTTTTTACTTATAACAACAAAGACATATTATAGATATTTCATAGTATCAAAGAGCTTGCGACGTGTTTTTTGTGGAGTTAAAATATATAATAGTGTGTATCTTTCCTAACATTATTTATCGACAACATCGTTAGACTTTATTCCCTCTTCCATATTGATTTTTTTTTCCTAATATTTTGTACAGTATTTTATGTCCAGACTTAAAATGCAAGTTAAGCCATATTTTAATAATATCGGTTTATCCAACATTACGTGTCATGTTAGAAAATATTTTAGCTCTACATAGAGCATAACTTTGAATGAAATTAAACTAAGCAGTAAATATTCATTTTAATTTACATACGTATACTGTTCTTTATACTATCTACTATAGAATCCTATTAAATTGTAAAAATCAATCTGGTTTAGAGCATTCATTAATAAATAATAATCAAAACGGCATTGATTTCGTTCAGTTAATACATATATTATTAGTTGAGAGCGGAATTAAGAGATATTCATGCCATGATTATCAGCAATAAATGTGTAAGAATTTCATATTAAACAAATGCCTTATTTACTGCCTTACTAGTACGTTTTTTAGTTTTTTTTTTTGGTTTATATAATTCGTATTCAGCAACAAAGTAGCGTATCGACGTGGCTTTTTCTCAATAAGTTATGAATCGGAGAGCTACATTTACTTCTTTTATTTGCGTATATGTTGTTCCCGAGGAATATTGATTGTACGGGTCGTGGATTAAAAAGTTGTAAGATTTAATCGAATTGCGCCTTTCTAATTTGAAATTTGAAGTATCAGAATTATCATGACAACCAAAGTTAAGCTCTAGTTCGTGGTAGAAAACTATAAAAACCTAGCGATATATTATAAGGGTGAAAGCCCCACGTCTAACAATCCCTTTCTGCTTAAATTAAAGCACCGTATTTTTAATGGCGTTGGCAAATTTTTTAGTATCAAGACCGGAGAAACATTCAAATCAATATAAACATTTAATATACACGTGCTTCTAACCCATGATTTTACCATATATTTGTATTACATAGTTCAGTCAGCCATACACGAGCGTATGTTTACAGGTACTAAGTACTAACGTTACTGCACTGGTGAGTGGAAAGTATGTAGTAGTGCACAAATATTTATTATTGCGTGTTTGAAAGTGGATGCGTGCGTTCCGATCTAACGGTTGGCATTTGTTTTTATGCCTATATATGGACGATCAATCGAGTGACATGCGTATATTAGCTACAGTGGAAATTTACAAATTTCGATTATATTATATATAATACCTTTCTATAGAAATATATTTTTAATAATTAAAATGTCTGTACAAGTAAAATACAATAATTTACTTTTTAAAACCTATTTTATTATAATATGTATCATAGATATCAAATAATTGTTCCCTCTACTTAAAACCTCAGATTAAATAATTATACCTTTTAGTCTTAAACCAAAGCATGTTCTAATATCAATAATATAACAACTAAATTGTATAATGTATATTGTGGCGTAGCAAGATTCAATATTGAACAGCTTACAACATTTCATTCTACGAGTGGCTATTCAAGGGGTTGTTTTCAACCGACTTCAAAAAGGAGGAGGTTCTCAATTCGACTGTATTTTTTTTATGTTTGTTACCTCAGAACTCCGTCATTTATTAACCGATTTTGGACAATTTTTGTGCTGTTTGAAAATGTATACTTCCAGATTGGTCCCATTTAAATTTCAAAAAAAAAATACCACTCCTAAGGGTGGAAAAATAGCTAATCATGAATTTAACCTACTTCTAATTGTCATATTGACTTGAAACTTTTCAAGTGTTTCTATTTACGTTGATAGTACAGTGGTTCGGTATTGTTGACTTGATCTGATGGTAAGGCCAGAAGGTGGATAGGTGGAACTCTTCAACGGTAAATAGTAGATACGTTGAGTTTGGGCTTATTTTGTTTGATTTGACAAGCCTAACACGTTAGAATTCTTACTTTGCTACTACTGTCTACACTAAAAAGGGAAAAATATAAACTTTTTAACAAAAAAATAAAAACCGACTTCAAACAAAAGCACTAAAAAGTAAAAAATAACTGATTGGTAGTTTTCATTTACTATACATACCTAATCAAATATTTTCGAAGCCGGCGTGTTTTGGCTAAGTAATTATTAAATACATACCTAATCAAATATTTTCGAAATCAGTGCCAGCCCATACAAAGCAAAGCACACCGACTTCAAAAATATTTGATTAGGTATGTATAGTAAATGAAAACTACCAATCAGTTATTTTTTACTCGTCGGTCGTCGGTTTTTATTTTTTTGTAAAAAAGTTTTTATTGAAACAATCTTTTATTCCACGGTAATTATTTGAGGTAATCTAGGTCCGGCGCCTAAACTATCTTGTCTCTGCGTAAATGAAAGATAAACAAATACAGCACAAGCAAGATTTCACATTCATAATATTATTAATAGGGTAAACTTTATCATAACCGAAGCTTATAAATCTAAACTAATAATATTATAAAAAGGTAAAATTTGTGAGTTTGTTAGTTTGTGAATTTGTGACGTTGTAGGGGGTAATCTCTGGATTTACTGAACCGATTTAGATGAAATTTGGTAAGAAGATACTTTGAGATCCTGGGAAGAACATAGGATACTTTCTATCCCAGAAATCATCCTTTAAGAGGGTGAAATTGGGAGAGAAAATTTTGTATTGGGAAGCAAGTTAGGGGCGAACCCGTGAGAAATGATGGGTGAGTCGCTAGTAATAATATAAAGCGCTTTGTTGTCTGATCCTGATATAGCCTACGTGTTAATAAAATTATAGAGTATCTAACATCGCACTACGACTTTTAGGAATTTTACAGCAGTATAAATTATCAACACAAGTAAAACCATGAGCAAAATCTAGTCATTAATAATAGAACTCTGTTCTAGGTTTCTGAGTACGGGGGCGGCGCGCGAGTAGTGTGGGCCATGTCGGCAGGCGACAGAGAGGCTGAGGCGCAAGCCAAGAAGGGAGAAGATGGATCGTCTACTGAAGACAGCAGGGCCGCAGCCGCCCTAAAACAAAACTGGTGCATTGGGTTGAGGGTTGTCGAGTTGGTAAGGGTTAATAGAGTATAATTTTTGTTATTACATTTGAGTATGACCAAAAAATTATAGATTACAAGTTGTGAGTCACATGGAAATTCAATTGGTAATATAAACAGAAACCATCCCATCCATATTTATAACTTCGAACTTCCACATATACTTTCTTTCCCTAATTAGCTACTTTAGTGCATACCTTCACTATATTAGAAACTCTTGCGCAAAATATATCAGTCCTTAAAACAATACAAAAGATATAAATTCATTTATTTAGTAATATCTTAGGTATATTTAAACTGTCTCGTTGGTCTAGTGGCTAGCATGTACGTCTACACACCCAGAGGTCCTGGGTTCGAGTCCCGGGTCAGGCCAAGTTTAGTTATTGAGTCTCTCTGTATAGTAAGCCTCAGTAACATACCGGAGTTGCGAAGTTGGCGGTGTTTCACCCCCTGCGCCTTAACTCTCATTGGTCTTGTCGAATAGTCGTCCCACAGGAGTGTGACAGTGACAGGAATAGAGAGTGCACATTGTGTCTGCGCGTACACTTGTGCACTTTAATATCTCCTGAGCAGTTGGCTAGTCTCAATGAGATTGGCCGCCGTGGCCGGAATCGGTCAGGAGAGCACTATTATTATTATATTTGAGACTCATAAGTATTCATGAATGTGTCATATAAAACCTGGACGAGATCAAGGAAGTTTGTTAGTTAATGATACATAATGTAAAATTTAATAAATTATGCAAAAAAACTCTAAAGGAATCTTTACGATTAAATTTGTAAATGTAAAAGACTTTAAACTAAATCGATATTATATGAAATCAATAATTATGTTTAATCATTTTTATGTAATGAAGTAAATTATACACTTTATTAACTAACGTAAAAACATATTTAAAGGTAATCGTTAAATAAGGAATGTAATTACACTAACATATAAAAGTAAAACACGATGCATCTACAAAATATTTTTAATTACACAGGATGAACAAAATAATAATACCGTTTAGCGAGATATATTAAATGTGGATATGGCCAATTAGTTACAGGAATTTTGTAGTTAATATAAAACATAGTTTTTATAGTAAATTACGAGTTTGAGTAAGCAACAGCAAGCCGGTAACAGACAATTAAGAAATATCTATACGCATGTTTAAAGATACCAGTATGGTTAGTAATAGGATGCGTTAGTAACACGCAGTTAGAATAATGGCACAGCTTTTGGATAAATTTAATTAATACATACGAGTATTATTATTATTTAATAATTAAAATAAATCAAGACACTTAGTAACAAAAGAAATAATTTAATTCTTTTTGTAGCTTTTGGGCGTAGCCGATGACGGTGCAAATATTGTGTAGAATGATAACAGAAGATGTACTTTTAAAAACGCCATCGCTAATAAAAATCTAATATATGGAAAATGATATATCTAAGAATTCTTAAGTAGATAGAATATCAATGCTATCATATACTTATGTTTTTTTTCTATTTGCGATATAGATTGTAGAAAATAGAATTGGAAAAGCTTTCCTACGTTTTATTACAACAAAATGTATCAGAGAAGCAAATTATATCTAGATGACCAAGTGATGATCTTTTAAATGTTATTATCAACGATGCAAAAAGAGCGAATATTACGTTAGAATTAGCTTCAAATGTACTTTTTATTCATTATATAATTATGGAAAAGTTAGTTTAACGATTTCTTCGATATTAGCAAAGTTTAATAGCAATCAGCTAGCCTTGATGTTGTGGGAACTGACAGATGAGTGGAAACCGCGCATCAAAGTCCTTGATAATGTACTTCGAGGAGAATACAAACATTGTTATATGACTCATGTTTGTTATGATGGTTTCTTTGGAAGACGTAAGTTGAAGACTAAGTTTAAACATTCTTGCTTGGTTTCAAGAATTGTAACTGAAACGAGCAATTTCTCGTAAGAAGATATTTTATAATTAATAGCATTAGCATTGCCCGCGGCTCCGCCCGCGTTCAGATGACCAAAAACTAAATTCTTAGGTGTTACATATTAGTATACTCTTACATTGCAGTTTTTGTATTTTTCCTCAGAAATAAGATATTTTCCCGCGGTAAAAAGTATCCTAGGATCGCGCGCTACATCGCCCGGTTTATATAGCTTGAGCAGGCGGTCGAGCGATGCGGGGCAGAGGGGATGGACTCGCCGTAGGCATCTCAATGCTCGCCAAGCATTAAAAATGTTTCGCTACTAATTACTTCTAACAACGATATCTCAAAAACTATTCATCTGATTGATTTAGTGTAAAGAGCAATTTTAATCTGCATTAAATGACTAAGCTAACTAAAATATTCATTTGGATAAGGATTAATACCGAACTAAAGAAAATAACTTTGAAAATAACGTAATGTTTTTAATTAAAAATGTTAACATAAAAGTGGTTATTGTAAGTCAACCGTAAGAGATAGAGATATGCTATCGCGGACTTTTTTGTAGCATTTTTATAGATTTTGAATTCTCTAGTACATTACTTAACTGTATCTTTGCTAGTTTACGCGGCGTTCGCGTGGAAAGTTCCCATTTGGCGAGATTTTTTGCGACCTCTTCAACATTTGTCGCCGTATTTCAGCTAATTTACATAAAAGCATAATAAATTATATACCTAAACCTTCCTCAAGAATTACTCTTTCTATTGTTGAAAACCGTATAAAAATCCGTTCAGTAGTTTTCGAGTTTATCGCGTACAGACAGACAGGAGGACAGACAGGAGGACAGAAAGACGCGGCCGGGGGACTTATTTTTATAATAAGTATAGATAATAGTAGCTATAGAGATGAACTGGTAAGCTTAAAAGAATATCTTAATATATATAATTCTTCTGTACGTGTGTTTGTCATCTTACTCCTCCTAAAGGGCTGGACCGATTTGGATGAAATTTTGTGTGCTCCTGGATAGTTTGAAAATAAAATTGGACCTGTTAGATGGCGCTACTGTCGGCGTAGCAAAGAGTTTGTTTTTATTTTTAGTTTGAACGCGGGCGAAGCTCCGGGCACTACTAGTTTAGTAATAAATTTCATTAGTTATTATTTGATTTCAGATAATTAAAGGTATTTTTTTAAATAAATTACGTTTTAGATTCAAACATCATAATTAAGATTTCTAAAAATATAAATATTAATAACATGCATAATTGTAAACATGTTAAATGATGAAAAATAACAAAAAAAATGTTTTATTTTAAATAAAAATTTTTTTTCGGTTTACTCATCATTTAGCATCAGAAAGAAATGGTTTTATTGTAAATATATTAAATCTAAGAAAGTTAACTTATAACAATGATAATAATAGATACCTAATATATTATCAAGTCTATAATCAAAGAAAAGTGAGCTCATGAAAGCGAAAACCAAGTAAAACTAACATCGATGGCTTCGGAAAACATCATTCTTGTGGTATTTAGGAATATTTAAACGGTGAAAACGGTATTCGTCAAGTCGACACTCAGATGACGCTTTCTCTTAACGTCAAGTACTTATTTCTAACCGAAACTTTTTGTTCAAGCATTTCATACTAAAAAAGTTCCTCTCGATTCACTTATAATTTAGCAATATTAGATTAATAAAACAAAAAAATACTTATAAAGAATGCCAGTCTTTGGATTTCTATATCTCAAAGACATAAAATGGTGATTCATGGTTTAGTTAAATTTCTTTTCAGGGAAAGTGTACTCTAACAGTGAATCCAAATTATCTATCTGCGGTTTTTCTTACTAGAGATAGAAAATATGACATTAACTCCGCACAAATTACGTCAAACTTTCGGTAGTAAGAAATACTAAAGATAGAGCTTATTGGGATCGGTACTAAAAGAATGGTTGATAGATTCTTTTGGTATAACGATAAAAAGTAAGGATTTATTTAACATTTTTATAAAATTTGCTAAACGCCAAATAAAAGGGGAAATACGAGTTTTAAAGCGGAATTTATTTCGAATTGATACATCTCAAATATGAGCATCATCATAAATCTAGTGTGTAAATGAAGAGAATGGATTAAAATGAACCTGTAAAAAAAACTCGTATAAGTAGTAAAATTTAGAAAGCGGTACAATTTTGTAATCAAAGATGATGATTTTCATTTTATTAAAACAAAAAAAATATGTAATTTGTAGTTTGATAGCTAATATGATATGATTATTACGTTCTACATAATATAGAGGCAAAGAGTATGCGGTTGAAGATATTGAGACTTGTCTTTGAGAATACGCCATTGTTTAATTCTCCTGTGAGATGTTTTAAAATGTAACACTATTTTTAGCTTAGGTTTGCCAAGAGACGTTATAATATAAAAATAAGCAACCTTTTCGACCACCGTCCAGTGGAAAACAGGATAAACATCTACGCTCACTATGTAACTAGTTTAGACATACATACATACATACATACATACATACATACATACATACATACATACATACATACATACATACATACATACATACATACATACATACATACATACATACATACATACATAACGTAATTTACCAATGAATGTCATAAGCTTTCCTATTTTACAGATCCTAGCCGTAATCGCCATTGGTCTCGTAGTGGGTGCTCTAACCGCTCCACAAGTCGTGCAATCTAACGACCGTCACATTGCACTTATCTACTCCGCCTATTCAAGTAAGTTTATTGTATTTATATATTTTTGTAATGAAATATATTATATTATAAGAATAGAATTTTTTATTCAGGTAATTTTATCCTTTCGAGACGAGACATAAGTCCCTACTAGTCCCAAACTATAAGTTAGAGGTAAAACAAGGATAGTGTAGAAAACTAAATAACACGACGTTAGATAATCGAATATATGTATTAAAATATTAATAATTTTTTTATTGTGAAATAATACAACATTATAGTTCCTTTTTAAAGTTAATTCCCCGTTTACTTAAGAACCGTGGCCTCGTTGTAAAAGAGTTTGTGGTAATCTGACACTTATTGAAAACCGATTTCATTGTTATTATGTTCTAGCACAGTTCATGCTTGATCAAACATCGCTGGTCGTTGAGTCTGAAGGCCCTTGTTGAGCAAAAAACAAATCATGACATCTTAAATATCTTCAATCTTCAATCGAATAATATTACGAAAATGTAAAACTTCCTTCCCGCCCACGCTTCGCTTGGGTTCGTCCCTAGAGTGCTTACCCCTACAAACTTTCCTCCCCATTTTCACCACCTTAAGTCATGATTTCCGGGATAAAAACTATGTCCTTCCCAGGGCCTCAAACTATCTTTCAACCACATCTAAATCGGTTCAGTAGTTTCGGAGCTTATTCGGTACAAACAAACAAATGTTTCCTCTTTATAATACATATTAGTAGATGTATTGTATATTACATACATATGTTAGGTTTATTGAGTTTAGCAGCGGACGTCTATTGACTACTACTAAGTTTATGTACCATTTTTCAGGATTTTTCGTCAAACAATTTTACGTATTAAAGGGACTTAGACAAGCCCGTCGTTCTATAATCGCTGAAGATTAGAGATCTAAAGAAATATGTATGCGAGTGACATATGTATTTTGATTCTGTGACATAGCGATATTTGTCTGTTCAAGACAATTATTAAAATATCTATTTTACAACGATTGTACTCGTAGAATGACAGCTCTTGTTACGTAGAATCTTCTTCTTTTTTATTTTTTTATAATTATTATTATTTATACGTTAAACTAATGAAAATAAATATTTAAAATAAACAATCATTGTTCAAATGACGCAACAAATTAGGTGTTTCTGTACTTAGTCACAGATAAAGTTATCGTTAATTTACTATGTAATTAACATCCTTCGTCCCTGAACTGGTTGTCTTAGTTCAAAATTTATACTTAGTTTTACCAATTCTTCTTATTTGTACAACTTTGTTATTCACAAAGCAATTATAAATTTTTCAAACCATAAGCTTTTTAATTATTAAGGCAGTGGTAGCCCAGTGGTAGCACGCTCGCTTGAGAAACCGAGTGAAGCGATTTCAAATCCCGGGTCTCGCACCTCTGATATTTTCATGTGCGAATCATTTCTAACATGAATACCACTTGCCTTACGGTGAAGGAAAACGTCGTGAGGAAACCTGCATGTCTGAGAAAACCTAGCAAGTTTTCGAAAGACATGTCAAGTCCGCCAAACCACACTTGGCCAGTGGTAGACTATACCTGATCCCTCTCGTATTGTAGGGAGGCCCGTACCCAGCAGTGGGACGTTAAAAAGGGCTGCATACAATAAAGCTTTTGTAGTAAACACTGTGTAACAAGTTTTTCTTCACAATTTATATATAGTCCATTAAACTACAGCACTAAAAGTTATGAGAGGATTGCACAAACAAAAAGATACGTTGTGTTTACAATAACATCAGTATAGATATTAGACTATGAATGACTCTTGCGTAAGAAATTTCTTCATTCAATGCAAAACAAATCAATTATTTCCATTTTTTTGGACAATCCCTATCTAATCGCTATGTTTTTGCAACTTAGATAATTTACAATTAAAACTCCCATTTTATTTAAAAAGCAGAATTTCAAATATTGTGTCAGTCAGGTCGCCCTGTTGACATTATGCAATGTATTTTAAAATCAGTTTCACTTCTTCATTAACTGGAAAATTGGTTTCAACGAACTTTATATTATGTGAAAGTGTTAAATGAATTGTCGGTGAATCGTGAGTTATGCGTTCGCAATAAATCCGCGTCCGTGAAGTGATAACTCAGCCGTATTGTATAACTTTGTTATATTTACAAGTTGTTTGTAGATACTTATACCTACCTATGTATATAATATAGAGTAGGTATAGGTGCACTTCTATTACTTATTAAGTAATAGGTACTTCTTGATTACAATTTACAACTATTATGTACGTGATACATCTTAAAATAAAGCGAGATGATAATAAATGCTGGTCCCTCGAGAAAAAGGACTCTTCTATTGTAGGAATCTACATACGTTTACATAAAAATGTTTATACAACAAAGTAATAATATAAAAATATTTTGAAAGGTCTTAAATATGTCTTTAAATAAAGAAAACATCGCGTTTTATTATAATACTAGCGGCTCACCCTCGCTTCGCTCGGGTTCGTCGCTAGGTACGTTTTAAATAGATATAAAAAGAAAAAATCTTTCTTTCTCACATTTTAATTATATGTTTTAATACTTACCTATTCCGGACTAAGAGAAATCCAAAAATTAAAATATCATAAAAATTGGAACGCGGTCGAACGGGATAAAAAGTATCCTATGTCCTTCTCCTGGCTCTAAACTACCTCCCTGCCAATTTTCAGCTAAATCGGTTCAGCCGTTCTTGAGTTATAAGCGAAGTAACTAACACGACTTTCTTTTATATATATAGACTAGTGACTCACCCTGGCTTCGCTCGGGTTCGTCCCTAGGTGATTCTTTACATTGACATAGCTTTTTTATTTATGAACCGATTGAAATAAAACAAAAACTAAATGTCATGTGAAGCTTACCACAATACATTAGTAAACCAAACAGACAAAATTCTAAAAATCACTGTTTTGGGTTCTGTTGCATTAATAAAGACTATATAATAGTTTTTCTCAAATATCTTCCATGTACAGACATTTTTATTATATCTATAGATTTTTGGTCAACATTATAAATGATGATAAATGATGTAGTTAACAATTCTGTTTCTTATTCTTAGGTTTCATCATTATCACCGGAGTTTTAATAGTCGCTCGACTGTTTGGAGAGTCCGCGGGATGGAGGACCTCTATGGGATTTTCTATCCTTGGATTTATCATGTTTACTGCCGCAGCTGGCATAATATTCTATGGTAAGATTTTCATTTTATATCAAACGCAAAGCAGTTATTAAATTTCAATACTAATATCTAATATTAAACTGTTCTAACTATATCTACTATATAATAATATTTAACGAAATGATAAAGGAAATCTTATTTATTAAATAAAATTTCATGTTGTTTTCATTTTAGAACGTACACGCATACATACATATTATGTATATGTATCTTCACGCTCTATCCTTTGCGGGGTATTCATTTTAGCAGGCAAAATATTTAAAACGGGATTTTGGTAATCCTATTGCCTCAAGTAAGATGTCATTACGAATCACACGGGAAAGAGCGAGAAGATTTAATGTTATCTACATTACAATATTACATATATATCCAATATACAGTATTTTTATAGTGTGCTATATTTATATATTTATCATACATTTATTCCTAGACTATTCAACCAGACCTAGACCATACCCTAACAACTGCATATTGTTCGAATGTTTCATAGGTAAGGAAGGGTAAATGCGATGCTAAAAATATTATGTTAAAATTTTGCAATAAAACTGTAAATATACACAAAAATTGAAATATAAATTCACAATGATACAAATTATATGTAGAGCTAGTAAATATTGTAGTACCTATCCTTTATAATGATTCAATTAAATATGACTCAACCAGCAATGGTGCGCGGGAAAATTATACTCTGATTCCTTTAAGATTACACATAATTGCGGCCAGTTTAAACGTATTATTAGTTACGTAAAGCAACTAACAAATATAACTAATACGCATGTAATTTAATATTTACAATATCCGTTAGAATAAATCTGTCTTTATCTCCTGAATTTCTTAGCACCGAATAATATATTTCAAAAACATCATATCCTATTTAGAGGCACCTTCTTCACACTACAAATTACACAAGGTGGCATTGTTTTTTAACTGTATAATTATAGACATTCATTAAAATGCATAGGCAGTACTTGCTGTTAAAACAAACGCGTGACTCTAGGGAACTAGCGTTATTGACAACGCCATTAAAGTCTTCTAAGCGTCAATAAATTAAAACGATAATATAAAATGAATATAGTTTACACACTTCGTATATATTTTTTATTATACCTATTAAATAAATTATTCGTCTGATAGGTTTAAAGTTTGATTTGTAAATACCAACATTTAAAAAAATATATTTCATTTAGTTTTATAAAAACAAAGACCTATTAGATACTTTTTTTAAAATTTAAGATAATCCCATTTTTAAAGTTAATTATTTTTCAGACTGGCACAAATCATACTACACAAATATTCGACCAAACAAGGAGGTTTACAACCTCCTTATCTCTTCGGGCGTTTTCGCCGTTGTCGACGCCGCCGTATTCCTTGTTCACGCTTTTCTTACTTTCAGGAAAGAAGCTGATTATTAATTATAAAATTATCTATAATAATAAGTAATTAATATTAATTGTATTTGTGTAGAAATTCAGAAGTTATCCATATAATATAGTTATTAATTTATTTTAAAAATTATTAACATGCATACATGTATCATTTTTATTTACTCCAAAGTATTATGTCACTAAAGTTATACGTAACAATAAGATAGATGTAAATAGCTTAATTATGTCGTTGTTGTCCTGGAGAGTAGCTTTTTTAAATACGTAAATATTATTAGTAGTGTTTTAGTTTGCTATAGTTGTCCTACAATACAGCAGCTGTTTCATACACTGATAAAACCACGTCGCTTTCGGCCGAGACAGTGCAAGTAAACGTATAATATAATATAAAGTAAAATAGAGTGCTTTCTTATATCTAAGTGATTGTATTTAGAATAAGAGAATCGAAAAATTGGTATAAGTTTTATTAGATTAAGTTTTATATATTTTGGGCAATGTTTATAAAATCATTACAGATACTAAGACATTCCTTAAATAATATTTTGTTACTTGTTAACATTAATTAACTTGTTATATATTTATTTCTTTTTCATTGTAACAATAAACGAGAAAACCACCGCTTATTGTTAGGTTAACATTTATTTTAGCTAAATTAACCAATGATTAATATTTACTTTACTTACTTTGACTGCAGTAATAATCAGCAGAATTCTATTTTGATCATTTTCAATGTGTCTTTATTAAAACAGTTAATTTTTTAAACGAAAATGGATTTTGAAGTAAAAACTTTTTTAGCCGTGTTAAGCGATTTTTGGTAGAGGGAAAACTCATATGTTTGCGTCTGCGTCATCGATATGCTACGTGCGACATGTGACGTGTCGATGTATCTGGCGCAGACTGGCGTCATATGTTTTGATTAATAAATAAACTATATGAAAATGTATATAATTATTGCTTAGAGTACCAATGGATGTGAAAATTAGACTATTCATAATTGCAATTTACAAATAATTAAATTTTAATTATTCATACTAAAATTAATTAAAACATTAAAAACAAAACAGTTATTCCACAGTAAGTTTTCACTTCTGTCGGCAGTCTATGGCTGTCTATTTTTTTTTCGATCTTTACAATTTATACGCGAAAACTAGAGAACATTCTTCTGTTATAACATTTTCTTATCGTAATATAATCACTACAAGTTATTTATTTAGTTTTTAAGATTATATAAGAAAACCAAAGCAGTAATCAGTATCCGTCCAGTGGTAGTTAGGTTTTATTTTGTTTTTTATATTTTTCTATATCTACATACCTTTTCTTATACCTTCAATAATTTAGTTAAACTTAAGTTTTTCTCTTTCAACTTTTTAACGATTTTGTTAATTTTTTACTTATATAGAGTTTAATTATGTTTTAGCGGTAAATGAATGTAGTAATAATATTTCTTTTATTTAGTAGTGTAAGTACGAAATAATGAAATATTTGACGTTATTTATAAAATCAATAAATTAACTTTGATATAAGATTTGTGTGTCAGTCGAAAGTATACTGATTGCTACTTCTCGAGTAAGTTGTTTATATTAGATTCCTGCATAAAATATTATCCGGCGCTAATGTTACCTTAAAATATGCTTTTGATAGAAGGTACTCGTGTAATTTATTTGTTCGTAAATATCCCATGAATCATTAAAATAAATGTTGTGACTCGGTTGTTTGTATATAAGATATTGTAATAATATAATGTAACTTTATAAATAAATATAACTGCACGAATTCGTCTATTTTTCCCTATTTTAGGGCTCTATAGGTACTTGAGGGTTTCTGTCTTTCTGTGACTAATCCTAAGCTGTCAGTTCGTCTGTCCTAAATTTGCTGTAACTATAATAGGTTGAAATATCAATCTATACATAATAGACATAATAAAATTCTGAGTCAAATATGGACATTAAATACTTATTTTTTCGAAAATCTTATTGAAATAGCTTCAACCAACAGTAGTATTGTTGATCGAAATGAAAATCTTTATTATCGACAAAGAGGCCGAATCTATAGAATCTTTAGAATTTTATTTAATATCTATTTAGTCTATCTGTCTAGGAACGCATCACGACAAAAGCGCTAGACTTTTTACTGCGGCAAAATGTCTCATCTCTGAGAAATCTATAGACTTTCCGTTAAAACTTACTAAAGGATGAACTCGAGCGGAGCGAGAATGAGTCGCAAGTTTACTATATAATTTACGAATTCATTTGTGTTAATCATTTGCTTTTGGTAAAAATAAATAATAATTAATAATATAGACAAATAACTTAAAGTGCCTATTAACTATTTAACAATGTAGGCCCTAAAGTAAAACAAGAAATAAAGTATATAAATACATATATTATAAAATCAAAAAACCCGATTGCATAAAAGCTAACAAAAAAGATGAAAACAAGTTCACGAAGGAATATAGTATTATGCAGTAAGAAGTTTTTTGGAAATTACAGTCTCGCACACAATACATTAAAAATTGAGTCCACATATTAATAGGTATATTGCGAATATTTTCAATAAGATGAAGCTAGAGCAGCTGAGGCATTTTGAATGACAAAAATACACTCTCGCGTTCTATATGCCCTAGAGTGTCTCGGCGAGAGAGTATGTAGTAAACATCGTACATAGAAATTTAGAAAATAATATTTTTCATTTTATTATTGATCGAAGTTAGTATTGCAGCTTGCCAGACGGCTCTCCATGTTATCGTTGAAATATATTTATAGATTTATTAATGTAATAAAATTATGAACAGTATTTAATATTTGTAAATACCATACTTTTTAATAAATTTTATAAAGACTCGCTGCATCATTAAATTAATTTTCAAAATTGAAAGAGCGTGCAGTGTATCCGAATTTCATGACATAACCTCAAAAATAAATCAAAAAGTGAAACAATAATATAATAAACATAATTGTATTGATATTACGTACCTGCTCAGCTTTGGCCAAGTAAATCCACAATTTTCGCCATGTAGAAAATTTCTTTTGGTCACTGAAATTATATTGCATTTCCTTTGATGCATAACGTGTACTTAGCGGCGAACGATAATTACAATATTCACTATTTTGAATTTCTAGAGGAGCATCAATAGAAAACATTGTAATATTAAATTATTCTTTTGTCTTTTATTAATTATAATAATCGCCGTGAATAGATGTCAACTGACTGACTACCGAAAGTGATACAAACAATTCGAAGGACAGTTCATTGGGCGCGAGAATTCAATTGAGATAATAAAGGTTATCACAGCATCTGATGTAATTTGAATTTTGAAATCTATGCTTATTGTTACAAAAACAAGCAAAGATTTCTAGTTCAATGTACACTTCCATTTGCTACATTCCATTGCTATTTATAGTTTTTGTGCACAATCCTTATAATATTGATATTTTTCCATGAAAAATTATTGAACAGTAAAGTACATTTCTTTTTTACTACTTTACTAGATAGTTATTATTTGTAAGTAAATTTCTGACAAGTGAGGATTGAAATATGGCTAACAAACTGATTAAACATTTCTTGCATCATACCATAACAGCATACATTGTTGATTTTAAATTACATTTATTTTGATTCTTTCATTTATGTTTATTTACCTTCTTGTAATAATAAGTACTAGCCTGAAAGGTTTGTGAAATCTTTCCATATTTGAAAATAATGTTATATTTATTGCTTTTTAGAAATACAAATAAATAGAACAACATCATTAATGAATTTAGAACCTTATTGTAAGGGAAAAGAAGAAAATAAAACAACTAAATTTAAGTTATTATTTATTAAAACAATCTGAAAGTCTGTATAATACTTGTAGAAAAATATTTTGGTATTTATTGTCTCTGTAGTAATATTGTATATAATATAATATATTTTAATACATACAAAAAGCCAATCCAAGAGAACTTATTTATTTTCCGCTATTATATCTGCGATTGCATAAGTATAACAGTACCCATCTACTATAAAGGCTTGAATTAAACTTAAAACATTTAAGTTACATATATATTTTTAAGAATTAATCACTTAAAATTGCAAATTAAAAACTCATTTTCTTCCATATAAAAACAATAAAAGAAAATTTAAATTCATGCTCAACATAAGCAGCATAGAAAATTATTGAAATACATGCATTTTAATATGTAAAATATATTTACATTGATTTGTTACACACAGGAAGTGACTTGTTATGATAATAAATAAAACTATTTTACAATTTTAAGGTTATTGAAAAAAAACTTAGGTATCTACAGATAAGTCATCCTTATTAAATTAAATCCCAGTTTTTCTTATTCAAGTTACTGTACTTTTCAAATTTTTCATCAATCTTTATTATTTTTTTTACTACTACAACAGTTACTTCATCAGTTTCTGAAAACAAAATAATATAAAGCCAACCCTATATATATAACATCTATTCATCATACACATAACATACAAATCATCTCAATTCAGGCTTTGTTCTTGAGTGATTTCATCATTTTCTCTAGCTTCATGGCTTTTTGCAAGTCTCCCTTTATTTTCAGTTTGCCCATCATAAAAGCATTTGTAGCTTTCAATTTACCTGTAATTAAAAAATTTCTAATAATTCGAAGGAAATATCAATATTGTTTATGACAAATCAGTTCATAAAATATTCTAACAATGAAACTATTTATGAATCCAAGTATGAAAATGTACAAAGCTTTATAATAACCATAGAGTTCAAGATTTTATTAATGTTTTTATAAATAAATTTTATAGGGTAGATTCAGATTATTATAAAATAATATTATGGTCATGTTAAAAATAGTTCAAAAAGGCACCAATTTAAAAATCAAGAACTCTTTATTTAAGATTTGTAAAAATTGGCTCACAGTTAGCAAATATTACATACAAACAAAAAAAAACAAGATGCAAATTCTAGTTTTACAAGTTATCAAGAGATTCTATAAAAATAACAGAAAACAAATATTGATGTAAGTAATGTAAACAATACAGAATATCAAATTAATTGCTACATTTCATCAAATGAATATCTTATTTATCAACCTGAAAATTTACAAACCAATATACGTACAAACTTTAGTATTTATTATAATAGTATGATTTACCGGCAAACATATCAGCAAAATTATTGCTGTCCATTGTGAGAGTCGCATCTGGTGGGTGCTTGGGCTCGCCCTGCCCGCAGGTACCATCTCCATTCTTCAGATCTAAGTGCCACACACCTTCCTCTTTACCTGTCAATTAAATAAATATCATAATGATTTGATTACTATTAAGGATTCATCAGCTAGAGCAATGTTGCACTGTCTTGTTATGTCTTGAAAAAAATTATATTATTATAATTGTCTATCTATTTAATACATAAATGTATGTATATAATATTAGAAACAAAAACAAATCTATCCCACAGGAACCGTATATGTTTTCAGGACAAAAAGTAACCTATGTGCTATTCCAGACTCTATCTCCGTCCCAAATTTCATCCAGATCCATTCAGCTGTTCTGGCATGATTAAGTAACAAACATACATCCATCCAAACTTTCTCATTTATAATAATTATAAATAATGGCATAAATGATTAATCAATTACCCTAATTTAAAAAAAATATGAAAAATAAAAAACAATTTTAAAATTTATAAAACAACAAAAGTACCTTTCACATTAAATTGGAACACAGCTTGAGTTTTCTTTACCAGCTCAGGATTTATACTTTTGCCGATCACATCAAATAATGCTGGTATTTGTCCGTCAGATCCCTGTAATATTTTCAAATATAGATTAAATACGAAAATTTGTTCATATTTGCAATATTTATTTTCTGTACGTTCTTTACAATGGCAACAATGATAAAAGTGATTACATATGACATACGTATTTTCTATCATATCTTTACTACCATAGATAAAGAGAGTGGACAGTTTCTTTGCCTTTCTTTGTTCTTTTGAGACAAAATGACTGTGCAGCCAGAAGTCTTCTGTATTAATTGAAATACGATTAATGAAGACATATGGAACCATTTTGCATTTTTGTATGTTCCATTTATAAATTCAAATTGGAATAAAAGACAGGTATTAGGCGGACTGGTCAATTTAATAAAGTATTGCTCGGCCCGTTCACTACGTCTACGGTTATGACATACGGAATTTCTATCTTATCTTTACTACTGATTGCAAACCTAATTGTCACTTACTTATTTATATGTATGCTATTACGTAATGTTAGACATTTAAAAAAAATAGTGGCCATAGATTGTAATTTTTTAATTAAAAAAAAAAACATTTTAAGGTATATTTCACACCTTTTTTACGGCATCCTTATTTTCCCCGGGTACGTCCAAAAAGAAGTCGGGTAACAAATCGTTCACATGACCTGCGAACAAATACGAGGCCAATTTTGATAAAGATGTTAAATTTTGCATAGTTTAAAATAAATTTTGATAACTAACGCTACTAATTATATTTTAAAGGTAAAATTAAAATAAACGCGGCAATACATGCTAAAACCAAATAGCTTACTTTGTTTAAGATATAGTAAGATACTTAAAATTAGAAACTGATTTAGATTTGTTGCTTATTTCAAAACATATTCGCAACTAGCTTTTCCATATATTATGTCAAATTTGTTTTTTTTAAGTGTCAAAATAAAAAACTATGACCACTAATTTTTTAAATTATTAATAAATTAAAATATGGATAAAATAATCACAAATAGATTTAATTATATTTTAATAACACATGTATTTGGAATCTTAAACTTTTATTACGACTTAAGACTTAGACTTGGCAATTTAATTGGCCAGTGTAATATGAAAGCTCTGTATAGGTCAATTTGTATTTTTTTATACGTAATATAAGTCACTAGCATTTCCCGCAGCTTCGCCCGCGTTCAGATGAACAAAAACCAAATTCTTAGGTTTTACATATTAGTATACTCTTACATTGCAGTTTTTGTATTTTTTCTCAGAAATTACATATTTTCAGGCGGTAAAAAGTATCCTATATGTTGACCCGGATAACTAGCTATCATCATACCAAATTTCATCAAAATCCCTCCAGTGATTTTTCTGTGATGCGGTAACAGACAGACGGACAGACAAAAATTGTAAAACTATAGATTCGGCCTCTGTATCGATAATAATGACTATTTCAATAAGATTTCCCAAAAAATATTTAATGTACAGATTCGGCTTAGTTACAATTTTATTATATGTATAGATTTTACATAAAAAACTGCTTAAAAATACTTCAATATTTTTTACTAGCAGTACCCCCGGCTTCGCCCACGTTCCAACTACTAAAAAAACAAACTCTTTGACACACCGACAGCAGCGTCACCTACCGCGTCCAATTGTGTTTTCAAACCATCCAGGAGCCCATTGAAATATACACAAAAATTTCATCCAAATCGGTCCAGCGCTTTAGAGGAGTAAGGTGACAAACACACGTACAGAAGAATTATACATATACTAGCATTGCCCGCGGCTTCGCCCGCGTTCAGATCATGACCAAAAACTAAATTCTTAGATTTTACAGTTTTTGTATTTTTTCTCAGAAATGAGATATTTTACCGTAGTAAAAAGTATCCTATATGTTGACCCGGGTAACCAGCTACCATCATACAATTTTCATCAAAATCCCTCCGGTGGTTTTTCCGTGATGCGGTAACAGACAGACAGACAAAAATTGTAAAAACTATAGGTTCGGCCTCTGTATCGATAATAAAGTCTATTTCAATAAGATTTTCCAAAAAATATTTAATGTACAGATTCGGCTTAGTTAGAATTTTATTATATGTATAGATAAGTATGGAGAAAGAAGTATGTAAGTAAGAAATTTTTGACCCAGTTACAAAAAAGGAATAACTCAATAATGGTGTATATTTATTCATGATTTTTTTAATGAATAGGTCAGCGAACCCATATAAATTTCAAGCAAAAAATTCACTCCCAGAGCAGAACGAAGAACAATAACATTATAAACTCACTCAATGCACCACAAATAAAAAAAAATACACTTTACTAAGCTTCTGGATATTAAATCTATTACCTTTATGAATTTGTGAGTAATGGATGAACCTTCTCTAATGTACCTATCTATACTTATATTATAAAGAGGTAAAGTTTGTGAGTTTGTGACGTTGTAGGACGTAATCTCTGGCTCTACTAAACCGATTAAGATGAAATTTGGTAAGAAGATAGTTTGTGACGCTGGAAAGGGCAAAGGATACTTTTTATCCCGGAATCATCCCTTAAAGGGGTGAAAATGGGGATTAAAGTTTGTATTAGGAAGCAAGCTAGGGACGAACCCGAGCGAAGCGAGGGTGAGTCTCTAGTCTATGATATTTTTCAATGTACCAACCTTCTCATTACAGCGTATAGCGCTAGTATGGTACTGACGGGTGGAGGCGGCCGAGACGGTCCGGTGATGAAGTATGGCCGCCGGATCATCCAAAAACCCGTCCAGCAATAGATTGTCCGCATTCTCTAAATTTTAATTCGCTATAGTCAGATTGACTATTTTTATTTTCCATATAAGTCAAGAGATGAGAGATGTATGACGATATACTGTATAGAGGTTAGACCCATAGAAAGAACCCTGGTATGTATTTCTAAATTTAAGGGTTAAATTGTTTATTCCTCTTAAAATTAGCAAGGACAATGAATATAGGAAAATATTAAAAAATGAATGTGAATATCTTGTATGTATCTCCTATATAAAGTTAATAATGTCGTAGTGTTAGTAGTCTTAACATTTTTTGACTTTGTTTACTCACTTGGATCGCAAGCATATGGAGTTAGATCACTGATGCCGTTTGCTTTTAAGACATCTTCATCGATTGCAAAGTTGCCAGTGTAATTCTTTGGGTCTCTGTGAATAAAAATATTAAGAAATAAAAATTCTGCCTATATAACGTCCCACTGCTAGCCATGAGCATTTTCCTTCTACAAAAATGATACAAACGATTTGCACAAATATCAATCAGGTGGAATACTCAAGCAGTCAAGCAAGCGCGTTACTATGATTTATAGTAAATATTTTTGAATCATCATAATTTTTTATTCAGATTATTACTTTGGCATTAAAAACAGATATAGTGAATACTAAATTATATAAAAAATAATCTCGTTCAGGATGTATATCTATCATATTATAAAGCAGAAATTGTTTCTATTTTTTTCCAAAAACAAACAATATAAGAAAAAGTACAATATTATAAATACTAATAATTAATATTCATACTAATATTATAAATGTAATTTTGTAAGGATGGATATTTGTTACTATTTCATGCCAGAACGGCTGAATGGATCTGGATGAAATTTGGCATAGAGATAGATTATAGTCTGGAGTAGCATGGTTATAGGTTTTATAACGGATAATGTACGGTTCCTGTGGGAAAAAATTGTATTTATTTTTCAGTAGAGACGAACGCAAAGCGAGGTTGTGTCGCTAGTCTACTCTATATATAGCCAAGTCGACGAGCCAGTTAAAAATATATAATATTTAAAAATTAGCTTATATTTTAAGATAATTTTAGCAAAGAAAGGTCTCACTTGCAAAGCATGATGTATGCAGCATCCGACACGATGTCTGGCTTGCGACTGGTCGACGTGTCGCCGGTCAACATCTCTATAGCCGCGGTGGCAATTGCTAGAGTAAACAAATGTTACATATACACTTAATTGATCTATATATGTGACAAATATGATCAGAAACAGCTTATTTAGGATTTAAGGTGCATAATAAATTTGAGATTTAAAACCAATGTATACAATAATAGGAAAAAATATGTTTTACTGAGTTATATACTCATATATATAAATATATATATATATATATATATATATATATATATATATATATATATATATATATATATATATTTATATATATATTAAATAATATAAATAGATAGTTATAAGTAACTAGGTACTGAATTTTTATTCAATTAAATCACTAATCCTTTTAATGTGATAAAGGCGGCGAAAGTCGATATTTTTTTAGATATGAACGCAGGAAAATCTTTCGTGAAAAATTCGATAACTACTAATACTACCATTAATAAAAATTATATAAACAGTCTTAAAAAAAAGGTAATAGCAAAAAAAGGCCGAAAAATAACATAAAAGTCATCTGTATGTATAACGAATTTAGCAATTATAATATATGTAATGTAAGTACATGGAAAAACAAACCTGTTTTTGGCCACAAAGCGTTCACACCAATATTGTAAGGTTTGAACTCTTCACTCATGCCAAGCACGCACATAGACATTCCGTACTTAGCCATTGTGTAGGCGACGTGAATAGAAAACCTGTATAGAAAAAATATTAAAAAAAATAAGTTTAAAAAAAATATTTCTCAATGAAAAAACCAATTTTTATCATATAATTTTATATGATAATATAACATTATATTTTATAAAATAATTTTAAACTATAAAAAATTATTTGTCATATATGACATAAGAAAACATTAAAAAATTCATCCTCCAGTGGACAGGAACTCATCACTTCAATAACCAAATGATTTACTCATTGTGATAATCTTCTAAATTTATGTATATAAACAGTTCAAAGAAATTCTTATTTGATCTTGAAAAGGGTGTTCAGTTATTGAGCAAGCGATCCTGCATTACTTCAAAAATGTGGAGCATGTTCAATTGGGTTTTAGTAGCATTTCTGACAAGTGAATCCCAGAATCACCTATATATATGCACTTTGCGGGTGGTCCATGTAAATGCATTTCCGAATGTAAAAAAAATATAGTTTGCTATTCTTTAACCTAGTCATCATTTATTCTACACATTAGTTAATATATAGATAAATAGAATTAGTTTTCTATTAGTATTTTAAATGCATGGAACTTGACTTTATAGAAATCATGTACTCAAATAACTTTTTATTCCAGTAATGCAACAGCTGACAGTCGCTGGTTCAATTATATATTTTATTAAATAAAACAATAGTTACCAATAAGGATTCATGTTAAGGGGTGGTGACAGATTGAGGATGTGTGCATGGTCACTGTTTTTCAATAGCGGCAAACACAATTTTGATCTGTAAATTAAAATTAATGTACTGTATCAGTAGCAGTCTTTTCTGATTTCCCTATGTGTTTATTAATTGATTGTTAAAAAATATTTTTCACTTAGAAGGTTTACGATTTTATACTCTTTTAGGAGCAGAAACTAATTTCTTAGTATCATGTCTACATTATTTTGAGAGTACATTATCAAAATTCCAGAGTTTTGGATAAGATGATAATGGTCACTCAGAAGAAGTTCATTTCAAATACATAAACACACAATACATACAGATAGTATATAAGTATTTTATTTATAAAAGCTTGTATTTTCATGTACAATACATATGAAAAGAATGGAATGGATGGACATTCATATAAGTAATTGAATTGAAAATATAGTAAATTCCATTTAAATCAGTTAAGTAGACATAATAATAGCTATAGCTCCTCAAACTTTGTGATTTATAAGCTTTTGTTCTTATGAAAATTATCACATAATATCTACTTCCATTAAAGTATAAAGATATGTGTGACTTACGCTAAGAAAGTTCCTCTAGTATTAATATTATGCATTAGGTCATATCTCTTCATATCAGTTTGAGCTGTTCCAGTAAGAGAAATTGCAGAGGCATTATTCACTAAGATATCAATGCCATTGAACTAAAAAATAATAACAATAGCAACATAAATATAAAAATGTCAAATCCATAAAAGATTTACTGGTATTACATCTTACATAGTATAGCTTTAAATAAAATATAGGTACATAAATTATATTTTATACCTTCTTGACTGCTTCATCAATAGCATTTTGCACTTGCTTTTCATCCCTTACATCTACTATGCATGGTAAAGCTTTACCTCCAAGAGCTTCAACTGTTATAGAAAATAAGTGTTTTTTATTAGCATTATATAAATGCTATATTTACAAACATAAACAGTAACTATGATTTTTATAGTATACTAGCATTGTCCGCGGCTCTGCCCGCGTTCAGATGACGACCAAAAACCAAATTCTTAGGTTTTACATATTAATATACTCTTACATTGCAGTTTTGTATTTTTTCTCAGAAATGAGACATTTTCCCATGGTAAAAAGTATCCTATATGTTGACCCAGATAACCAGCTATCATCATACCAAATTTAATCAAAATCCCTCCAGTGGTTTTTCTGTGATGCGGTAACAGACAGAAAAAAATTCTAAAAACTATAGATTCGGCCTCTGTATCGATAATAATGTTTATTTCAATAAGATTTTCCAAAAAATATTTAATGTACAGATTCGGCTTAGTTACAATTTTATTATATGTATAGATAACAGAAATTAAAATATGAAAACAACATTCCATTTATAAAAAATAATAATGTAAATAGACCAAAGGTTTTTCACGATCAAAGATCAGTGGACTTTTCACTCAGGTCAAAGTCCATATCAAAATTTATCTACAGTTTATGTTAATATTTTTATCACATTGAGTTTAAGCTGAGTTGGTAACAGTTGTTAATGATTTTTAGGTTTTTTTGATAAACTTACTTTCTTCGGCGGCAGAATAAATAGTGCCAGGAAGTTTAGGATGAGGCTCGGCCGTTTTAGCGGCCACGACAACATTAGCACCATCTTTAGCTGCCTTGAGGGCTATCGCTTTTCCTATGCCACGTGAAGCTCCCGTTATAAATAACGTACGCCCTGCTAATTTCCTAAATAAAAAAGATAATTTGTGAAAGTTGAAGAGTAAGCACACAAAAAGTACTAACTTTTAATTTCTTACCCCGTGTTTGCTACTAAACTCATTTTAAAGAATATATATAATGTGTTTACAAAATATAAGATTAATTTACAACAAAAAGTAATCAATGAAATTTACAATAAAAGTTAATGGGAACTATTAATTTAATGAACTAGAAGTATATAACTATACTCTTTGACACAAACTAAACATAATATGTGTCAAATCACAAATGTCAATTTACTTTACAGTTTGAATGACAAATACTTTTTCTGTCGTATGACGTACAGACCGTTCATCGTAAGAAGTCAGTTCGTTGCTATGTTGGTTACCTTGTTAACAGTATTGCCACTATATACATTCGGTTTACTTACATATTAAGGTTGGAAATTAAAATTTTAATACATATCATTTTTATCAACGCAAGTGTGAGCTTAATCATATAAAATGCGAAAAATGATCTAATTATATCAAATAAACTATCTACTAAAGAAAAATCAGGTTAGTACTTAAAATAAAACAAATATTTATAGTTAAATTTATTTTAATCATAAATATATTTTACGATTTGCAGTACGCATGATCAAATGGCTTCTCGAGTAATTCTAGAAACTGTTCTATCAGATATACCTGTAACAGATATTTACGAAAGGTTTACAAATTACAATACATATCAAGAAAATTGCGTAAGCATATTATTAGATTGAAAGTTCATTATTAAAATATAATTTAATATTAATAATAATAATAATCTTTATTCGGTATCTCAAAAATTTAATTTTGAAAAAAACAACGCAGGTAACATGACTGAATATCTTAATATTATAAAATGTGAGTTTTTTTACCTATAAATGAGAAAAATCTTTAAAGCTGGCAACACTATTTTACTTACCCGTCATGGCGGCGACTCGTAATACATTATTTTCTAATGGAATTAGTGGACCTTTGTTTGAATTTTAGCTCTCGCAAAAGGCACGCACCTTTACCATAATCTCTCTCCCACTGGTTTTTAGTACTTTTGGCATGATTTTGCAAAAACACAGTATATTTCGGATTAAAAACTACGCGCTTCCTGTCGCAACTAAACATTGATAGTTATGGATTTATGAATGTTGTTATTACTGCAGTCAGTGCTGCTAACTTGACCACGAACGGACAAGTTATGATGAACGATCTCATCTATATCTCTTAATTCTGTCAATTTACTATTCAGATTAAGTGTTTGGAATTCATCTGATTTATTAGTTAATAAAATGGATGTTTGGAATTCTTATGATTTATTAGTTAATACAATGGATGGCTGGATGTTAACACAAATATTTTTACACATTATGGACGACAAATATTAATATATGCTATCAGTCCCTGCAGCGAGAAAAAGCCAAAGTAAAAACCACAGAGTATATCTTATAATTCTAAAATAGGCAACCAATCAGTGTTGCCCAATAGATAATTTGTCGCCACACCACCCCCCTACGGAGTAAAGAAACCGCAGGTAAGAAAACTATAAATCTAATACTTGCTTAAAACGGACCCTGCGTCCTGATCTGGTCCTGATAGGCGCCGCTGGTAAGGGTGAAGGCGCGGGTTGGGGTGTAGCAGCTGGTGCAGCAGTGGGCTTCGTACTGACAGAGTCAGGCGCCCTCGTTAGTCTAGGAAAAGTTCTATCTAGGAAACATTCTAGATACGCCGGTTTCACCCTATCCAGACTTACTTCAACCTCCCTTCCTTGGACGGCTATACGTATGGTTTTTTTGTTCTGTGAAATTACCTTGTAAGGGCCAGTGTAGGGAGGCGAAAGCGCGCGCCGGACGGAGTCATCCCGGAGGAAAATGTGCGTCGCAACTGGAAGGTCTTTGTACATGAAGGTGGTTGTTCCATTGTGGCCTAGATGTCGCGAGGCTGGGACTGGTCGCACGTCAGACATATGTTGGCGAAGCTGACCAACTAAATCACTAGGGTCTTCAATTCGGCTCGATAGTCCTGGAATAAGAAATTCGCCAGGAAGGCGGAGAGGCTCACCGTACAGAATTTCAGCGCACGACGCATTCAGGTCCTCTTTAACCGCGGAGCGCATGCCAAGCAGTACAATCGGTAGGGCTTGCAACCAGGAGGTTTCGTGGCACATTACTGCGGCCTTAAGTTGCCTATGCAATCGCTCCACCATCCCATTGGCACAAGGATGGTAACTAGTGGTGCGCGTCTTCTTAATGCCGCAGAGACTCATGAGGCGATTAAAAAGTTCAGACTCGAATTGCCTGCCTTGGTCCGTTGTAACAAGCAGAGGGACACCAAATCGAGAAACCCATCCGGACATGAATGTAGCTGCAACTTCTTGCGCCGTTATGGTTTTGAGAGGCCATACTTCTGGCCATCGAGTGTATCGGTCGATTGCTGTTAAGCAGTAGCTGTAGCCTTCGGTGGTAGGTGGTAGGGGCCCGATGATGTCCACATGAACGTGGCGAAGTCTTGCAGTGGGAGTGTTAAAATTTCCCAAGGGCGTTTTGACATGTCTCGTCACTTTTGATTTTTGACAGGGGATGCAGGCACGTGCCCAGGCATGCACGTCTTTCTTAATAGAGGGCCACACATAACGATCCAAGCGTACAGTTGTCCGTGCGCCAGGGTGACTGAGTCCATGTAGCTGTTCAAAAATGCTCTTGCGAAATTTGGATGGTAGCAGTGGTCGTTGTTTGCCGGTCGACGTGTCGCAAATTATGGACAAATCGGTACCTGGAACGGGTATCTTCTCCAGCTTTAAAGAAGAACCGCCATCGTTAAAAAGTTCCTTGACTTCTTCGTCGTCCTCTTGGGCTGCTGCGAGCTCTCTGCAGTCGCCAGTTAACAGTGATATGGCATCAACTCGTGAAAAAGCGTCGGCGACTATGTTGTCGGTGCCTTTAACATACACAACATCTGTGGTAAACTCAGATATAAAAGAGAGCTGGTTCAGCTGGGCAGGGGGAAGCTTTTCACGCCGCTGGGAGAAAGCGTGCACGAGTGGTTTGTGATCAGTATATATGGTGGCGTGTTGCACCTCCAATATATACCGAAAATGCTGAACGGCCTCGTACACTCCTAGTAGCTCCCTGTAGTAGGCAGGCCAGGTGGTCTGGCGGGGCGTGAGCTTCTTGCTGAAGAAAGCGAGGGGCTCCCACTGGTTGTTCACCCTCTGCTGAAGTGCTGCTCCGACATGCGTGCTGGAAGCGTCTGTAAAAAGACCAAGTTCAGCTGTAGTGTTAGGATGAGCCAATATTGTCGCGAGCGACAGACTTTTCTTGCAGGCATCGAACTTCTCTAGAAGTTCAGGTGTCCAAAGAAATGGCTTGGCTCCCTTACCATTAATGTTTGTCAAAGCATCGACGAGAGCAGCTTGGTGTGACGCTGCTTTAGGTAAGAAACGCCTATAATAATTAATCATTCCGAGGAATCTGCGCATAGCCTGAACTGTCTTCGGCGGGGGGAAATCCAGGAGAGCCTTAATGCGCTCTTCAGGCGGTCGTGTGCCTTGAGCATTGATGCAATACCCAAGAAAAGTAACTTCTTTTGCTCCCAAAACGCATTTAGACGGATTAATGACCATCCCAAATTCTCTTAGTTTTTGAAACAGAATTCTCAGATGTTCCTCATGCTGAGATGCAGAGCTCGAAAAAACAAGGATGTCGTCGACATAGGGATAGCAAAAATCTAGACCACGAAGCATACCGTCGACAAACCTTTGAAATGTTTGCCCCGCGTTCCGTAACCCAAATGACATATAGGGAAATTCAAACAACCCAAATGGTGTTATAATGGCGGTTTTGCAAATATCGTCTTTATGGACAGGAATTTGTTGGTATGCCTTGACAAGGTCAATAGTAGAGAATACAGTAGAGCCAGCCAAACTTTGACTGAAATCCCCTATATGTCTAACGGGATAGCGGTCCGGGACGGTACGGGCGTTTAAGGCCCGGTAATCACCACATGGGCGCCAAGATGAATCTTTTTTGGGGGCCATGTGTAATGGTGATGACCATGAGCTTTTCGAAGGTCGTGCGGTACCTGATGACACCATATCAGCAAATTCCCTCTGAGCAGCCTGTAGTTTTTGGGGTGCAAGGCGGCGAGGGCGAGCAGCGACAGGAGGGCCATCAGTAGTCAGGATGCGATGTTCCGTGTCGTGCTTCACCTCGTGCGGTACTCCGGGCGGCCTCATGATGTCTGGAAATTCGGATAAAATCTTTGCGTAATTTGAATCGCCATCATTGTGTATTACGGCTCTCACACTAGTTTGATCAACCATGGCAATAGTGCCATGGCTTGATAAACCTGTCTTAGCATCAATTAGACGCCGCTTAGTACAATCCGGCAGTAGGTGGTAATGCGCTAAAAAATCCGATCCGATAATTGCAGTGCCGACATCAGCGATGACAAATGACCATCTAAAGTCTCGGCGCAGTCCCAAATTTAAATTCATATTTATAAGGCCATAAGTTTTAATTAAGCTGCCGTTCGCGGCCTTGAGGTCGTAATCTGCTACTTCAAGTTTGCCACCCATGGCTGTTTTAGGGAAGCAGCAGATGTCAGAGCCAGTGTCTATTAAAAATCGACGTTTACTGTTAACATCCGTCACAAATAAACGGCGACTTACCATACTTTGAGATGGACAGTCAGCAGCCGCCATCACTGACCGTCCCCCAAGTTTTCCGCTGGTTTCCAGCTGCAAGGCTTAGTGCAGCGGTTGGCCTTTAATTTAAACCTTCGATGGTACCAACATAAGTCGGAGGCCTCTCGGTCCCTGGATTTAGAACGAGACCGTGTGGAGCTCCTGCTACTGCGATGCCGGTTGTGGCCAGTGCTCAGCGCTGCCACCTGTTGCGCCAGTTGGTCTAATCGGCGACTGATGGCCTGCAGTGGGTCATCTGAAGCAGGTGTGCTCGTTGCAAAAACAGTATTGGCAGTAGGTGATACCTCAACAATGCGGTCTGCTAACTCAGCGACCTTCTGTAGTGGCAGGTCAGCCTGGGCAGCTAGGATGGCTTGAACCTGCTGTGGAAGTCGTCGCAGCCATAATTGGCGCAGGATGGACTCGTCCTGTAGGCTAGATCCAGCGAGGGAGCGGAGATGGCGCAAGAACTGCGACGGTTTACGCTCTCCCAACTCTACATCACTCAACAGCTGATTAACACGTTTTTCCTCTGAAGCTGATAGTCTACGAACAAGTTCAGATTTTAAAAAAATATATTTATTATCCTTTGGAGGATCGATGAGGATGTCCTCAATATCTGCTGCAACCCTCTCAGGTAGAACACTCAGTACATGGTTATATTTAGTGTTGTCCACTTTAATACCTGAAATTTCAAAATTTGCCTCAGCCTGCGCAAACCATGCAACCACACGACCAGACCAGAATGGAGGAAGCTTTAATGCAATATGTGATACTTGAGGAATGTGATCATCCGAGGGGGTTGGTGCTTTACTATCAGTCATTATTAGCAATTGGTTAAAAACAATTCACAAGATAACAAAGAAACACTTATAAAAAAAATAATAGGTTAAAAACAATTCACAAGGTAATAGCGAAGGCTTGTAAGAACATTAAAGTGTTAAAACAATTCACAAAATAATAGCAAAACACATATATAAAAAATAATAATAATATTAAGTCTTAATTTAGTGGGTTAATATGCTAACACTTAATCTATTAGTTGCTATTGTTATATAAGTGTGATTAAAAGACAGATCATATTATTATACTATGTTAGAGGAAAAATAAAACTTAATAATAATAAGCTATACACATAATCTTGTCACTGAATTTTTCACCACTACCATTCACCAAGATTGTCAAAGTTTTAAAGGTGAAGAATTGTCTTTCTCGTCGGTGGAGTTCAGAGGCAGTCTGTATGCTGATAACGTGACTAAGCGGTCACTCATGTGATAACGCGAAGTTTACTATAAAATAGATGCGACTCGGTGCACTGATGATGTAAATTGTAACGGAGCTGTCACCAGTTTAGGATGAGGCTTGATCTATAGGTTAATCAAACTGGAGCATAACTTTTAAAGCCAATGAAATGAATATGTTATTTCGCCATATTGTATCAACACCTTGAGGCTCACTTGTAGCTGTATTGTATAGCCAATTGTCACACTGCACAATAGTCAATAAGCAGTTGCATACGGCATGCGTGTTCATATCACGTCGGGGTCACCATTTTGGAATTCATATGATTTATTAGTTAATAAAATGGATGTTTGGAATTCTTATGATTTATTAGTTAATACAATGGATGGCTGGATGTTAACACAAATATTTTTACACATTATGGACGACAAATATTAATATACGCTATCAGTCCCTGCAGCGAGAAAAAGCCAAAGTAAAAACCACAGAGTATATTTTATAATTCTAAAATAGGCAACCAATCAGTGTTGCCCAATAGATAATTTGTCGCCACAAGTGTTACCAATTTATGTGGATAACCTTCTTCGTTTTTTATTTATAGCAATCTAGTTCTAAACTGTTAGTTAATTTCTGACCTGGCGCCTGCCATTTCCAGTATAACGAAAACGAGATACTTTTAGTGCTTAAATACGTATCATATATTACACAATCTGGTAAAGTTTTGACGGCTATGCTTGTCATTATTTTCACAATTATTATGTATCATTTTAATTTGAATTGATATACATAATAATATTAAGCACCTACCCTTCCCTTGTCTGCCTATTTTTCTATTCCTTCTATTTTGTTGATATTTGAGGTCTTAGTAGGGTAGCCCCCAACTATTGTAAATGTCATAAGGTAGCACCATGGGTCTGATACCTTCAGAGTTCAGGGGGAAACAGTATGAGTCTTCTATCTCCTGATTTGTCCTTATTGTCTGTTCACAGTAAATGTAAATGCTCGAAAGAGTGGAATTACTCAGTTTGCGTAATAACGGGGAAACCCGCTTACAGCTTCCTTGCAATAGTTTTTATGTCCACTTAGGAAATTGCACAAATATGTGCGCATAAACTACTAAGTGCATACTCAATCTTTTACCTATCTAATTCTGATAGGATTGCAATTTTGGCACAACTGGTTAGATCTCTAAAAGCCGTGCCAAAATTGCCGCAGAATAAGGAGAGTAAAGCTGCCGTTACCTGTTCTCTAATTCTGAAGCACGTAGGTTAACACTGCCAGCTTCCTAAACTGTTGGTACTGTATGTTTTTACAGGAAAATCTACTAAAATTGCTTGACCCGACCTGGGACTTGAACCAAGGCCTCAGGGGCTGCAGCTAACCGATGTAGCACGTAGCGTTCTAGCTAATAGACCAACGAGACAAGATGATGAAATACTAGGCTCGAATTTTAAATCGATACGTCTTATGCTAGAACGCTTTCTTGAATCTAATGAAAAGCTAAGTTTTTAAAGTTGGTCAATCTCAGTAAAAGTTCAAGTTCAAATATTGACAGTAATACATTCCCTGATCTTTATGTGATTGTCATCAGACAATAATAATCAATACATAGGTACTTAAAACTGGAACCAAGCCTGTACATAAAATATTTTTTGGAGAATTTCATTGAAGCGGACATTTTGATCGATACTGAGGCTGAATCTATAGTTTTTAGAATTTTTGTCTGTCTGTGACCACATCACGGAAAAGTACTTGAGGGATTTTGGTATGGTGATAGCTGGCTATCCGGATCAACATATAGGATACTTTTTACTGCGGGAAATATCTCATCTCTGAAAAAATCTATATCTATAATCGAAAAGTTAAAACGTAAGTAGAGCCGAACCCGAGCGGAGCGAGGGTGGGTTGCTACTACAATATAAAGATAATATATCGACGTAGGAAAGCATATTTGCTGTAAGTAGACATATTGCAATTGTTCACCAGAGCCAAAAAACTTAATTAATTTCGGAAAAAAATGAATAGTGTCTGACCTATCCATGATATTGCTACCATTTTTGGAACATAGGTTTATTAAACTGCCAGTCACCATTTGCAATGTAAACTTTTTACCCAAAGTTACTACAAGTACGTGTTTGGCTGGTTACAGCAAACAGTTTTTTAAATCACATACCTTTAAAACGCTATAACTAAGGAAGAAAAATGTACGCGTAGAAGGAAATATCAATTTACAGGCGGTAAATATGCTGTATGTAGTAAATTTATTTATTTGGGTACTGCAATTCATGATGTAAGATTAAATTTATAATTATGATTAGATCTAGAAATGCAGTGGGTCAGTTGGTAATGTAATGTTAAGTTGAAATAAAATGTCGTAAATGGTAAAAAAACTAATAATCTTTTAAATTGTTGAAACAAAATTTTAAACTCTAATTATACTGCCAGAACTTCGTTTCAACAATACAATGAATTAAAAAAGTTTTTCTCTTATATATAAGAGATAAAACATAATGAGACAATAACCGAATGTCGTACAAGGAATGAGGGGTGCGGGCGGATGCGATGCGGTAACACCGACACAACTTCAAAGAACTATCATTTTTTCAATGGCGTAACGGTAAAATGAAATGATAAATGATTTATCAAAATGCATTATCTCAAATTTCTAAAAAATCACAGGTTTTTAAAATGCATTATGTGGCGTAAGCTTTTAAAGCAAATACGTGATGATTTGCTGTAAATAGCAAAAGCTAAAACTGTAGGTTCCCTAAACTTGCTGTAAGTAAACGAATGTAAAAATCACACGCCGCAGAAATGCTGTAAGTAGCGTTAAGTTTTTAAATGGGAAGAAGTATTTGTAAAGCAAAATATGCAGTCTTTCTTTTGCTGTAAGTACAAAATGTCTAAAATGACTAGATTTTGGTCTACATACAGCATTTAATCTTGCTAAAAAATATATAAGTACGGGCGTTTTCAACGGCGTATGTAATTTTTTTTCATCGTAGAGACACAGGACCTGGGTCATTCGATGCGGCTTTTTTTCTGATTCTAATGGTAGTAAAAAGTCACTTTAGGTATTTTGTCTACTTACAGCAAATATGCTTTCCTACGTCGATATGTAGTTCAATTAAATTAAACTTCGTTGTCTATATTTTTAATATTGTTGTATTCTTTTATTTGTTTAATTATAATAAAAATTCTATTGATGGTGTTACACGCCTTGATCTTTGTGTGATTGTCGTCAGAAAACAACAATTCAATATAAAGAAAATATATCTATGTAGCATGAACGAATCAACCCCTGGACTAGACATAAAATACAAATCATGAACGAATCGTGGTTGATTCGTTCATGCTATGTAGTATGCGATGATAGCACATGTTCGAAATGTTCGTACTTAACCTAAATAGGCATGTGTAAAATGTTTGTTATATCGAGTTCTCGATAAATATATTGTTGATAAAAAATATAATTACTCCTAACAATGTTTCGGCAAATTATAAAAATTTATATATACCTTCTTTTTTTCTTCTAAAGTTAATAATAGAAATAGTATAGTTTTATTTAATACTTTCTTAGATTTACGTAAATATTTTGCATTTTAAATTAAACTATCTTTTCGGATTATTTCGCGGATTTATTTTGATTTTAGGTTCACGTTTCGTATGCATGATCATGGTCACGGGGGAGACTAAGGTTTTAGACGTCTCAAAGGCGTTATATACTTGTTACAAACGAACAAATACATGTTTCTGATAGTTTTATTTAAAAGTATAGTGTTAGAATATTAAATTCGGGGTTAATGAGAACTAATAAAGTAAGATTTCAAATACATTTATTTTTGTGCATAATTTCATACTTCACTTTCTCTAAGTTCTAATGTACAACACCGCGAATAAGGGTGAATACTTACACAGTATTAAAATAATCTACAAATAAAACAAATTCCAATTATATATCATCATAAGACATTTAGTTAGGCTTTGATATAACAATAATTGCAATCTGTAAGAATGGCTCGAATCGATAATTTTCACATTAATTATATATTATATTTGAAACTAGCTACAAAAGTCATTTTAAATGATGTACATATATACATGGACATACCATAAATAATTTAGAGATCCTTCAAAGAGTTAAGTTTTTTTTATGTTACATCAAGATTTGTCTTTATATATAAGGTCTTTTATTTTATTGAGCCATTTAATGGTATAATGATAAACAGATAAAAAGCCACAAACATACACTACAGTAATTTTTATAATAAACTACAACTTTGAAATAGGGTATCCATCCATGTATATGGCAACACTTAACATATTTTTACATAATTTAGAAACTGAATATAAAATAGATTTTTTATGTCCATATTTAATTAATGTACGTCTTACATTCTTGATTCTTTGATTGCACTGATTAAATTATGCTTACATATTTAAAAAATACATCCTTTCATAAAGTATATAAAAATTATTTAATTTTTCATTTATTAAATGAATACAGTATTCGTCTATAAAAATTATATACATAATATTATGTATGTTATGGCGTTTTAGGTAACAAATTTAAATTATCTAGATGTTTAAAAATGTCTTCTTGTTTTAAATGTCTCCTCGTATTTCAGCGTAAATTAAAAATCACGATATATATATATATATATATATATATATATATATATATATATATATATACATGTATACAATATCTACTACACGTATTATTTAGATTAACTTTATATACATTCCGAACTATACCTATATATTTTTTTGCTCTGAACTATAAAATTGATATTCCACGACGGTAATATATGTATTAATATATTTTAAAAAGATTAATATTTTCCTTTACTTCCATTTCGTTGTAAACCCTGTGACACTCCAGAGATATGATATAGAATGATAAAATAAATAGGCACTTTTTTTTTACTTTTTAAAATATGGATATAAATCAATAATATCAATAAATATATAATATTTCTAGATTTTTAGATCTTTGTTTATTCAAACAGCCGTTCACATCTTAGCCTTTAAGATTGGATGAGAAGAAGGTGGAAGTAAGTGTTTTATTTAGATTTTTTTTGCTAACTGAAAATTTAATTTATACTTTAAATAGGTCTAGGTCTAAATTATTTAAGAGTACGAGTAACACAGACAAGAAAGCTACATAGATAACTCTATAGAATCTAATAGAGATAAGTTTGAAAATGTCATTCAAAGAGCGTTGTTATAGTGAAAAGCACCATACATTCTGTAAAACACACCTAAAGTTACTCACAACTTTCGCTTATTTATATAATACTAGTTATTTAAAGCATCAAAAAATAATAATTGGCACCGAAAAATAATATTATCGTATCAGCATCTAAGACTTTGAGATGGAGACCTCTTTAAGAAAAAACAAATTAAATTGTATTTATTATCTATTAATCTCTTACAATTGTTCTAAATTTAAATATAAGCTGGTTGTTTGGCAGAATGCTGTAGGGCTGCGAGCACGTCGTGTTTAAGCCTAACATATAGTCTGCCTTTCCTCCATGGATTCTGTAATTGCAAAGGTCTGAAATCGTCTCTGAGACATCTCTCTCTGGCACCAATAACTGCCACTAAGCAGAAATCCTGTAGTTTTTCTGGACCATAGACTGGACCGGATTTCCCTTTTAAAACGGCAGCCATGTTGAGTTGTTTGACAACGAGGTCGATGACCTCGCGTGCCGAAGTGCGCGGAGTGACGTGCAGTTTTAGTGATGTACCTGATGCTAGTCCAGTCTCATATGCTGCAAATACCTGAAATATAATATAATAAATTAGCAAAATTCCAATACAAGATAAATAATTTTATTTGTAAAAAAACAGATACAAAACGAACAAAGAAAAAAAAGAAAAACTAAACATATTACAATAAATGCAAAATTATAATGGTAAGAAACAAAAAATGAATGAGTAGATTTTCTATAAAAATAACACTAATGTTTTTTCAGGAATTCCGCATTGTAGAACTATATACTAATTATATTAAAAAAAAACTCTCTTACACATAAATATTTAAATAAACATTACGAATAACATATTATAGAATTCACATAAAAACATATAAAATTACCTGTAAAATACCCGCTTGATCTATTCGTTGTTCAATCGGCAATTTGACGTTACGCTCTTCACTGTCACTTTGTTTATCATCAGTCTTTGGAACCTTATTATTATATTCTAAATCCTCCTGCGTTTCCAGCAATGGCTGTCGTTTGACAGAATATGCTTTACAGAACATATCTTGACCTGTATCAGTAAAATCGACATCTGACGACTTGACGTTGGTCATGCTTTTAGATGATATAACGTTTTGTCTGTTCGGACGGATTTTCAATGGGAAAGTTGTCGTTGTTATGGGACAGCTTTGGCTTTCTGAATCACTTGAGAGGCTTTGAGCTGATTCAGACGCGTTTTTCATAGTTTTTACACTCATCATACTTCCTTGGTAATAGTTTTTGACTGTTAGTAAGGGGCTTGAGGATGTTGAGACACTGGCATTTATGCTATGGGGTCGCTGTTTAGGTTCTATGTTCTCATTTTGCAGCACTAACGTGTCTTCGCTTCGTGAAGGCGGTAGTCTAGGGCTGCTAATGCTAGCGTGAGATCCACTAGATTTAATATCGAATTGTGAGTTACTGCTCATAAAATTGTTGCTCATCACACTGGATTGAGTGAATTGGGAGTCTGCGCTGCCTTTTCTCGCATATTTAGCATCTGAATGCAGATATGTGGACCCACTCAAATTCAATGTTGATACAGAAGTTTGACGAGGAGCTATACTGAGTTGTTGCTCAGATTTACTGAATTCTGGATGTAAGTTTGTGTGGTTTCCATTCCCGGCAGGCCCTGGCCACGACCCGCGGCCGGGAGATGTTTTAGACATTTTTCCATCTCGCGGTGGTATTTGAAGCAAATCTATTTTCAAATTGACATCCTTCTCACAATTACCGTCTGTACCGTCTGCACATATTTTGGACGGCGTTTTATCTAAGACAAACTTGAGCAGAATCCCTGAACTACTTCCAGCTTTATCTTTGTCTCGCGCAAAACCAATTAAATCCATTAGCCATCGCTCAGCTTTCCAGACTAAATTTAGATTGTTTTGAAGATCTTCTAATTTTGTTAACCTTTCCTTCGCAGTTTGAAGTTCTGTGCAAGAGAACGCTTCTCTTTGGGAGTGGGCAGCTAAAGCCACATCTAGTTCTAAGACACAACTAAGTTTAGAGTATTTATTAAGAATGTTCGTATGATAGGTTTGTAGGTGGATCATTTCGAAGGCTTGAATAGGTAAGCTTAGTAAGTCGCCTTTTTGTAGCAGTATTTCCTTCTGTCCTGGTACAGAGCAGGCTTGTTCGGCGGGAGGGCACAACATGATGAAACTAACGTCGTGGTTAAGTTCAATAACTTCGAGATCATATATTCGGTGGGTGATCGCGTTTTCGTTAGGTATCTCCATATCTTTGAACAGTCTTCGGGATGCTGTGGCTATTTGTTCGAGGAACATCTCTTGAGATTCTGAAGGTTTCTCATTTGTGCTGATGGATACTAAATTGTTTATAGTTTGGCTTTCATCGGTAATTTTTCCCGATTGAGATTTTAGGTACTCCCATTCCTCTCTGAAATAATAACGTCATAGATGAAATTTAGATATACTGTGGCAAAACGTTTTCGGTCTCATCTATTTAGGCAAGATATAGCTCTTTAAGGGTAAATATATAAAACGTAAAATCTCTTCCTCTATAAATTATAACCATCTATAATTAGACTAAGGTATAGGGTTTACAACCCAGGATAGTCCTAATGTGATCGATAACATTTTTATGGGCATTGGGCAATATAAAGTTTTGGTCCGAATGGAGCTGAGTTTAAATATCTTTTATAATACTTAAATACTTTTTAACTTTATCACAGATCATATAATACTATAGCTTTAGTAAAAAAGGGAAATAGTGTACGTACACAAAGAGAATAAAATAAATATTTCGACTGCCTTTATATAACAAATATCATTACTTCGTGATATAATATACAACTACTTTGATATATTTTTAATTTTCTCGAACAGTTAACTTACGCAGAAACATGTGGATTATCTCTGATTCGGGTGTGTGGAGGAACGTTGGGAGTCCGCGCCGGAGCTACAATTCGTACCACTTCCACTGACGACTGTAGCTTTAAATAGCCCAAGTACAAGCCACGAGGTAACTGGTATCGAGATACCTGGAAAATATCATATTGTTTTTTCTTAATCGACTTCAATACATACCTCAATTACATATGGCCGTAATAAATTACGTGCTGTTATATCAAATTCAAAATCTGAAGTGGTTTATTGGCACAATACTGATATACATTCTCATATAAATACTTGCTCATTTATATATACAAAACTATATAAACAAACTATTATATTGCTGTTTCATTTACATACAGGCAATCTCATATATTGTTACCTCACTCACACAACAGCACCTAACACAGCATAATACTATCCACTTCACACGTACTACATAACCTAACCTATCTTTATTATATCATCATATCAGAACTTACTCATTTATCAACAATTAAGCAAATGTTGTCTCACTTACACACATGCAATCTTAAATATTGTTATCTCACTCACACGACAACACCTTAAACATAGCATATTGCTATCCCTTTCGCACGTACCAAACCACGTAACCTATCTCCCTCACCTGGTGGTACGCGATCTGTTCGTGCACAGACGCCATGAGCAGCTCTCCCATGGTGTTATCCTCGCTGAGCACGCGCCGCCGCAGCTTGGCGACGGGCGCCCACCGCGAGTTGAGGGCCGACACGCACTTGGCTGACTTCACCGAGCTGATGCAGGAGAGCACCACTGTGCCGTGAGCGTCTCGTAGCGGCTTGTGGTACAGCTGGCCTGGGGATAGATTATTATTATCTTAATATATATACATACATATTATATAGTTCTTCTATACGTGTGTTTGTCACCTAACTCCTAAACGGCCGATTTGGATGATTTTTTTTGTGTATACTTAAAAGTAAACCAGAATATAATTGAACGAATGAACTTGAAAATGAAATTGAACAAAATATAAGTGGCGCTGCAGGCGGTGTGTCGATTCTCCGTGCATTAAATACATTTAAAGTGTTGATTAAATAAAATAAACATACCGAGAGCGATTTTTATGAAATGTTCAGGCAAAGTCTAGGTTAGCCCAGCAGGTGATCCTGTAAAGTTTCATAAAGCAAATTACCTAGATCCTGTACGCATAAAGCAGATTGCATTTGCGCGGCGGCGGTGAGTAGTTTCAATCTGAAGTGTATTGATGATGAAGTATGTTTCTCCATATCTGATCTTAGCGCCTTCACTTCATCCCAGGAACATGAAACCTGAAAAAAACTTATTTATATCAAAGATAAAGGAAGCATTCCGATATTCTAGTATAATTGTAAAAAGTACAATCTATTCATTAAAAAAAAATATATGAAAATCGATTCACTATTGTCGAAAATTTATTAGTACATACACAATCGAGCACCTACTTTTTTAAAATGGTTCAACAAGCTAAAGCTCTAAGTTGTTCTCTAAGTTGTTATTTGTTTGCCTCTTTCTCAAGCAGCGAATTGGAGTGATTTTTTATAGAGTAAGAGTTGAGTGTCCATCATATCAGATGATATTAAAAAAAAACTCTTGTATCACATAGTGTATTGTAAGTCACAAGGATGCTACTGTGACGTCACTAGTGTGTATATACTTTGGAAAACTTAACTAAAAGTTTCCATAATATATAAAATAATACATTATTTCTTAAATGTATGAAATGATAACCCTTTTTTAATTAACTTACATCTCTATCACAATTAAATGTTCAATTTCTTTAAATAGCACATCCTAAAATATTAAATGAAACAAATCATAAATTTTGCATTTCCATAAAAAACTGCAGAGTAAAGCTCGTAAAGCTAACCAGTCTCCATACTGTATTTCAATTAAGTATAGTGTTAATAATGTCCATTATACGATATTAACTGATCTATATAGTATTTGGCAATGCTCCAGCAATTATTAGGTTATCTCGCTGGCCGCCCGCCAACGAACTGATCCCTAAGTGTAGTACGAAAATTAACATTCAGGGTTAAAGTTACTAAGTTATAATACCGACTTCAACAGGCTCATTTATTTCAATTAACAAAATCCTAAAATATAATTTATGGGTGATTCCGTTCGAAATGTTACTTTTTCGATTTTTTTAAATTCTATAACCGTTTTTTTCCGCATATTTTAATTCTATGTTCTATTTCTTACTAAGAAAGAAAATATAACTATAAAACATCAAAAATTATAATAAAAATTCATTTTTTCCTGTCACGATAATGACATAAATTATATCTGGTAGACATTATTTGGCAAAAATATTAAAATCGTTAAATTATATACATTGGAGTTTATTAGTTCATTTATTCGAATTATTTATTGCGACTGAAAAAATCGTAATACGGTGCTGGCATTTAAGTAAGTTATTGCAAGTTTTCTTTCGATAACAACTTAAATTATACAACATAATTATGTTACTGAGCATTGTATTGGTATGAGAAAAACGATTGTTCGATTAATTATGTATGACCAGTGAGAGCAAACAATACAGGACATGAAAAATCACTGTTAGAACAAAATCATCCTTATATCTTTGTGTTTGTGTACATCATTCGCTCAATAACCAAATCATAACATGATAATTTGCATACAAAGAGTTTATGGAATCCTAAGCTCCCATGGCTTTATGGGTTATTTAAGGTCATTAGTAGTTTACCTTCATAAGCCAATGGAAGTCAGAATAGATACAGGCGGGGTAAGTCTCGTCCACTTCTATGACTGGTAAGAACTCCTCGCTGGTGACCAGCACCTTGTCTTCATGGTAGATGATACACGCCAGATATACTCCCCTGCAAAAGGTATATGCTTATTAGGGTGGAGTGAAAAAAAAAAGATTTTTTCTTAGTTTGGGGGTAGAATTTGTAGCTTATAAAAAACAAAAATTTTGAAATAAATAAAGTTATTTTACTTAACATTTTGAGGTGGCACACTGATTTTTAAAATAAATATTAATAAACATTTTTGTTTTGAATGATTTTTTTTTTCGCGTGATCATCTTTGAAAACATTCAAGAATTGACGAATATCAAGACACGCGGTAGCGTGTCCAGCCAAGTTCAAGCTAAAGGAAATTGCGACGCAGCACCGTGTATATATTTACACGAACCACTTGGAAGCACTTTTCACCTCACAATTACTCAAAATCTATTTAGTATAAACTCATGATATTTGGTTTATTTATTAAATCCCTTTAGATTAACTAGAATCTCTAATTTCATAAATACAGATCAAACGGTTATTGAAATATTAACGTCTAAAAATTGGCATTTTTATCACTGCCTGACTGACATATATTAGTAAAACAACCCACTTCCAGATGACCTAGAAAGTTGAAATTTGGTGTCCAGAAGGGTAATCATGTGCATACAAAGGAAAAATTCTAAAACAGTAAATTTTTAAAATTTGAAAAGAAAAGTGTATTAACACCTGGCGCCTTCCAAAACATAATAGCAATAGCTTAATACCTAGTGCTTTTTGAAATATAATAGCAAAAGCAAACACTTGTTCCTTTTCTACTTTCTTCACTGACGAATAGTCGCAAAATTATGAAAAAAAAAGATTGAATTTACATGTCAATTTGGAATTATGAATAATAATAGTTTTATTTACAAAAAGTCATGATATCCCATCAAAAATATAAATGTGAAAATGAGAGCCAAGGTCAATATTAAGAATATGCGTGGTTGTCATTTTATACTCAACTTTCATTTACGCATTGCTTATGTTATTTTTATGTTTGGAATAAAAAGTATATATGTATGGAATTAATTTTTAAGTATAATTTTAAGTTTTCGAAATGCATGTGAAGTCCGCCAACCTGTCCTGGCCTGATTCCCCTCTTATTAATGAACGGCCCGTGCCTAGAAGTGGGACGTTAAAAAGAACAGACAACTACTATCAATAATGGATCCTTACCGTCTCAAATTCTTCTGGAACTTGCTAGCAGCAGTGAACAGTTGTCGTATGGTGGCAGTTTTCTTTCTAGGTAACCTAGGTGGTTGTGCGGCGCGCTGCCTCGCGCCGGCGGCGGCCGACGCCAGCGCCTCCAGCGCGGCCGCCGCGCCTCCCGACTCGCCTCGCGACGTGCGCGATGATACGTCTCGCCAGCCTGCGAGTTTGTATGTTCGTTTATTTTTTATTATCTATATCTATACTAATATTATAAAGAGGAAAGATTCATTTTTTTGTTTCTTTGTTTGTACTGAATGAGCTCCGAAACTACTGGATCGCATTAGATGAAATTTGGTAAGAAGATAGTTTGAGACTCTGGGAAGGACATAGGATAGTTATTATTCAGGAAATCATCCCTTAAGGGGGTCAAATGGGGATGAAAGTTTGTATTGGGAAGCAACCTAGGAACGAACCCGAGCGAAGCAAGGGTAAGTCGCTAGTAATATATAAAATAATAATATAAATAATATTCATAATACATAAAACTGTATCCGTATAAATGATTGATAAGCATATTTTAAATTTTGTAATTGAAAGAAATTATAAGATATTGAATGTATAATCAACATTTTTTAGGCATTGAAATGGTTCTATTATTTTCACATAAACCTTTGGAGATTAACATTCAGTTATTCAGTTTGTTTGATTTTTAAAGAGTATATCTAATATAATTAAGTATATATAGTTCCATATACTCACTGCTAGGCACAACACTCCTCGGCACAGACACAGTGCAGGGCCCCCAGCCCTTCACATTGCCGGCCGCAGCGCGGAAGAAGTACCGCCGACCGCGGGTGAGCCCCGCGATCAGGACACGAGTACTAGCACCCGACGCCTGCACTTCACGACACCCGCACACGTTCGAGAAGTCCGCTCTGGATGACCACTCCACTGGATAGATAGATAAATACTTCATTGCATACAGCGAAGTGTTCATAGTATAGATAAATCACAAAAAAAACCAATCATGAGGAAAGCCGACAGAAGTGTAAACTTAAAACTATAAACAAACTGTTGTTATTTTTGAATAACCAAATTAATTGTTTAATATTAAATTTAAATTTATAAATTAAAACTGTTTAAGTTTATCTGGTTTTAACATCTATCGGCACTCTTTAGTGGTGCATCACGTGACCATGTCGATAACGACTTACATGAATTTACTCCCCATCCAACCTTGTCTATAGATGTTTTCACTTCAAAAATCACAAAAAAATATAATAATGGGCATGTACAGGCGATTCCATTATTTGAAGTGGAAACGTGACATTATTAATATATTAATATTATTAATATCATCAACGTATCCATGTGTTATTTCGTTACAGCATGAAATAGCGTGCTAGACGTACACATATACAGACGCACGCAAACACGCATATACACCCGCATACATACGCACGTGTGCATGTGCGTGTATACAAACTCTCACAAAATATGTAATAAGAAAAACGTAAGACAGTGTTAGTCCAGTAGTAACGCGCTCGCTTGGGAAGCAGAGCGAAGCGGATTCAAATCCCGGGTCTCGCACCCCTGATATGTTCATGTGCCAATATTTTTTAACATGATTACCTGTCTTACGGTGAAGGAAAAACTGGAAAACATTATAAGGAAACTAGCAACTTTTCGAAAGATATGTGAAGTCTGGCAACCCGCACTTGGCCAGCGTGGTGGACTATGGCCTGATCCCTTCTCGTATTAAAGGGAGGTAGGTCCGTGCTCAGTAATGATAGGTTCAAAAGGGCTGAAAATAACAAATGCCCCACTACTAATTAACACACCTTTATACTTAGTAACAATAGGTGGATCTCGAGGAGCAGGCTGCAAGGTCTTCGGGTCCTTCAATCGCACGGTGACAGAATGTGCGCCGCATACTTCTAAGTCTGGCGGCGGTAGTACTGTGGGGACTCGCGCCTGTTGCCAGCCTTGGAGAAGACGTCTGAAATATTGAAATAATAAATAATAAATGATTCGTTTTTTTACCAGAAGCGCCAGAAAAAGGGTTATGTTTTTCGAGTGTATGTATGTACATTGTACATATGTATGCATGTATGTATATTCTTTGGCACGCTATGCCTATGCTAGCCTAAACGGCTCGATGGATTTAAGCTTGAGAGGTGTCGATAGATTTGTCTAAATTGTGAGGATAGCACTGGTTAAATTAAAATTATAAAAATTAAAATGGCCGATTTTTGGCGCCATATTATGTATTCAAATTTTTTTTCTTCAAAAGCTATTGAGTGGTATCAAAATAAACGACTTACAAAAATATACAACTTATATGTTTAAATGTAATTTGGAATGAAAAATGCTAAAAAGCAAAAAAACAAATCTATCAATAAATCAATAATGAAATATCTTTAATATCTACTAAAGTGTAAATTTACCTAAGCATTCATTTTTTCCACAATATATATATAATAGTCAAAAGTTAAAAAAACACCAGTAATTTAATATAGTAAAAGCTATCCAAAGCTTTAACTGAAATAAAATGTTATTATATTTGTGAAATTAAAACTTGAATTTCACATTATAAATAACAAATAACAGACCAATTTTCCTATTAAAAACAATGAATAATCAACGAACTAATTTTATGTCCAAATTGGAAATACGTCCTGAAAACAGGTCATATTGTTATTAATCAACGTTTCGCTATTGTGTTCTATAATTAGAAAACTCGAAATTTCCTTTATAAATCGTTTGTGAGCATTATTGTATACAAGCTGTACCCGTTGACTGCGTTTAAATAATATAAAGAAAGAGAAAATAATATAAATGAAATCTTAGTTATTACTCATTGATATATAAAAACATACATACACATTTCCAAATATCTCTTCAAAAAGTGGCGTCGACATGTGACTAAGTCAAACCAAAGAATAAAATTCAAAAATCGAAAATTCTAATTGTCTAAACACAAATTCAAACTTACGCACACCACATAAAGTACTTTTTTAAACGAAACAACGTGCGTTTTAATTTTGTCATCCGAAAAGCAATAAACTTAAAAGATTTAAAAAAAGCGCGCTTCTTTTTGAGGACACATTTGAGGCGGTAACTGTATATCTTGAGTTTTTGTATATAAATATTATTCCAAAAAATTTTAAGGCATAAAAATGTGATGTTATAAAACTTTTTCCTCTGCTAAATTTTCATAAGAATTTTATTTCCTCCTCTGCGAAAACTATTAGTTTTATGGCACATAGTCATTTTTCACGTGACGCTCTTTAAGAAAGATAGACAGTTATATGAAAAAAAAAACCAAATAAAAATTGTTTCGACCATAACCCACACGCGAAATGTACGTAAAACCCGGACTTCTCTGATTAGTCCTGTGTAATGAAATTTTCGACAAAGCCGCTGGCAGAAGCAAATAGACAGACAAGAAATAAAGAATTGTACAAACAAAAAAAATATTATGTCGTATCGGTTTGAATGAATGAATGAATGAATGAAATAAACTTTATTCAATTAGACTTTTTACAAGCAATTTTGAAACGTCAATTTAATTTACGCGTCAGTGTAGTCAGTCCGTGAGGAAGCTACCATCAGCTCGCAAAAGAGTTCAGCTGAGAAGAGCCGGCGAGAAACTCAAGAATTCGAAACATATAAGTAGGTATGTCATATTCGTTTGACAATATAATAGTAATTTGATACATTTGAGCGTATCTTATAAGAGCTAGGAGGATAGTAGGACCTTTCGTTATTTTTATTTTTCCCATTTGTTTCAAAATCAAAAGCTTAATCTTTTAAAACTACTATAATTTATTTTTAAATGAAACTATCTTTTCGGATTTTGTCGCGGATTTATTTGCATTTTTGTTTCCCGACGTTTCGAATGCTTTACAGCAATCATGGTCACGGGAGAGACTGAGGTGTTAGATGTCTCTAAGGTATTATATAGTTGTTACAGACAGCCTACCCTCAATTAACAAAATGAATTCAAAAAATTGAAAAATGGCACTAACAAAAATGCAAATAAATCCGCGACAAAATCCGAAAAGATAGTTTCATTTAAAATGTCAAATATTCGCGTAAATCTAAGAAAGTATTACTATAATTTATATTAACATTTCGTCGTTTCAGCGCTCATTTGTCGAAACGACTAATTTACTGAAAGAGTTTTTAATGCAGAATTATTTATTTTAAAATATCAATTCTATTGGTATGAAATACACATTTTATTTAGAAAAAAGCCGAAAAAAATATTTTGTCTATACTATATGTATATAATTTTTTTGTTTTTAAAATTGAGGAAAAACATCGGGTGTGGGCTGTGTCGGGGCACACCGCCGTTGGTTAAACGTGAAACGAACTTCGCTTTTAGTATTTTTTGTTTTTATATATATTTTGTAAACCTATTTGAAAACAAATTAGTAAAAATAGTAATCTTTAACAATAGCAACGGAGAGAATATCATATATATTATTTTACAGACAACCTATTAATGCAACCTATTTTCGTTACAGTTCCCTTTTCTGACCTGGTACCCATATTTTTCGGCGTGATTTTAAAGACGTTGCAAATCAAAAAACACTGTCTGCTATAAATTACAATAAGTATTTGTAGTTTCAACAACGATTTGGTGTCTAATTGCAAAATTATTTTATCTTTCACTTACTTTAGTGTCCGAACTCGTCTTTCCCAATGTTGCGTCTGTTTGTCTTTCTCGGAGCCAGTGCCGCCCGCGCATCCCATCGTGCCCGCTTGACTTGCTGCTGACCTAAGCAAAACAAAAATTGAATACTATTTCAAAAAAGTAAGTAAAATAAGAAGAATCTAGATCTAATTCAAGAAGTAATTTTCCTTAACTCATTATGTATCTTTAACGGCACTAATGTCGTTAAATTAAATTGGGGACAATATTAATAAAAATGAAAACTGTATTGAAAATATGAAATAAAACTATTTTTTCGGATTTCATCGCGAATTTATTTTAATTTTTGTTTCCCGACGGGAGAGACTCTCCCGTGACTTTGATTGTTGTAGAGCATTCAAAAATAAATCTACGAAAAAGTTCGAAAAGATAGCTTTACTTAAAAAGTCAAATACGAATCGAAAATCTCATAAAGTATTATAAGATGATGATAGAATAACATGTATTGAAAATTGTTGAAAAATGTATTGTATATCAAAATTATCAAAAATAAGTTTTAAAAGTAACTCTAATATAGATAAAACTTGAAAACTTGGTAAAATAAAATAATTTATTGCACCATTTTTAATTAGAACCCGTAGCGAATATTCTATAAAACATTAAAGGTTAGAACCTGTAACACATATTCAATATAATATTAAAGCTCATTGCTGAAGCTCTTTATTATACTGTGGTATAGAAGTGAGGTCTAGGAGAAAGTCTATTGAATACAAACTAAACTAACCAACGAAACCTTGTATATTTTTCTAAAATTATGAAATACCTACTAATAATTTATCCCTTTTTTTTACAAAATTTTACTACTAATAATATCCTATATGTTACTCCAGATCGTAGTCTATTTGCATGCTAAAACTCATCGAAATCGGTCCAGCCCTCTCAATGTGACGGGGTAACAAATACATACAAATCTTCGCATTTATATTAATAGTGTGATATTTTAAATTAAATATGTAGTTTCTAAATTATTATAGGGTAATTTCAATAATAGTAAAACTACCTGCAAACATCGTCTCGGCAAGCCTTCTCTGGAATGTACCCGGTGACTTCGTGCAGACGTGACTCCGCCTCGCGCGATAACTTGCGCAAATGGGCGCCCAGTGCTTCTGGAGTTTTGACTGTAAACAAGATATATGATATATATTATACTTATAAATACAAATTACAAAACGTTTTGTTGTTGTTCCTTCATGTTTTGTGCTGAAATTGAGGAACGAATTGAAGTATTTTTTCTTTCATATTGAGAACAGATCCCCAATCCCCATACTATAGGATATTTTTTATTCTGGTAGGTACATTACTGCCAGATTTTATCAGTTAGTGTGTTACAAGACGTCGCAAAGCACACGCCTTAGTCAAGCCCACTCGTGAACCCATGCAGTGTGACTTAGGCATAAAAATAGATATCCATAGTACCTAATATTATAAATGTGACAGTGTGTTTGTTTGTATCCTTGTGCTTCTTTCACGTCGAAACAGTGACGATGGGTGTATTTTTAGGGTTTCGTACCTCAAAAGGCAAAAAAGGAACCCTTATAAGATCACTTTCTTGTCCGTCTATCTATCCGTGGCACACCACCGATTTTCTCAGGAACGGGTGGACCTAGCAAGTTGAAATTTTTACCAGATACTCTAGTCTAGATAGAGGTCTATAGTCCCTATTAGCTGTATAAAAATCAAGGTCCTGATTCAACACGATAAAAAGATATGGGCAAACTTAGATTTTCGCGAAAACTACCAAACCGTATTACCATACCGTACCGAAATTTACCATAATTTTCAACTTTGTTTATTTTTCGGAATTTTCTTTTTACTTGAACTGTAAGACCTTGATTTTAACCAAAAATCAAAATTCTAGGTCAATCGGATGTTACCCTATAGGTTTTGGGTCGAAAACCTATATGGTAGTTCCCGTTGACCTAGAATCACGAAATTTGGCAACAAACAAGGTCTTAAATAAAAGCAAGTAACATAAATAAAGGAAAAATTCCAAGAAATAAAAAAAAGTTGAAAAATAAAGACAAACAGATTTCCTACAAATTTGTACGGAACCCTCGGTGGGCGAGTATGACTCGCACTTGTCCGGATTATTTTTTGTGTGGAGATAGTTGACGGGCTGATGTGAAGAAGAACTTTTTACCGCGGGAGATTATCTCATTCCCAAGTGAAAACACGTTATAATACTACCCATAACAACTAATCATACCTATGTGTACATGTATATATACACATAGATTATAGTCAGTCAGTCACATAATAGTGTATGTATGTCATACTAACCGTTAAAACGATCCTAGGGATGAACCCGAGCGAACCGAGGATGAGTCGCTAGTTCTGATGTAATGTAAGATAGATTTTTTACATTATTGAGATTGAAATTTGCTTATTTTTCATTTATTTTACACTTTCCTTTAATGTTTTCCTTAATCGTTTCTTTTTCTTAAGAAAGGTGTTGTTATAGATACAGAGGCTGAATCTATAGTTCTTAGAATTTTTGTCTTTCTGTCTGTCTATCTGTTACCGCATCACAGAAAAAACCACTGAAGGGATTTTGATGAAATTTGGTATGGTGATAGCTGGTTATTTGGGTCAACATATAGGATTTGGAGAATTTTCACCGTAGGAAAATGTCTCATTTCTGAGAAAAAATACAAAAACTACAAGTATACTAATATGTAAAACCTAAGAATTTAGTTTTTGGTCATCTGAGCGCGGGCGGAGCCGCGGGCAATACTAGTTATACATATAGCTACTTTCCGAGAAAAATAAACCCTCCCACAGTCATTCATCCTACAGATGTCTATCTAATCACAAGATTCAAATGAAACCTTGATAATGAACTTGATAGGCATTTTATCAGAAGATTGATCAAATCGTCCCATTTCTTATTGTGTGTATTTGATTTGTTTTGATTTATCTAAAATCTTCGCAAATCATGTCTTATCGTATCGTTGATAAAAACTTGAGGTTATCGATTACAAATCATTTCGGATGGGTCAAGTATGATCAGATACTTTAGAGTCAAAGCCCTATTTTCCTGAACTAAGGACATCTATTCGTACATCTACTTGTGAAGTGGTTTAATCTTTGAAAAATATTCATTCATCATTGTTACGGCGAATATTCTTCAACAATAAAAAATATGGTCAAGTGCGAGAGAGTCTTGTTTGAATTATGAGGAAGATCATTCTGTATTTTATTTGAAAATCGAGGTGAATAAATGAATAAACCTCATCAGTTTACATTATCCTACTTGGCATAGTGTACTTGGTGAAGCATTGTGTTTTTAATTTTCTAGTTTAACAATATTAATCTTGAAAATTAATCCCCCAAGTCACCATTAACATTAAAATCTCCTACATGTCTCCTCACTCAAAAATCAAGATAAATACAGACAGACATGGTTCTGATTCGGAACTCCAAAAAACTAGCAATATAAGATAAATCTTTGTATACAAAAATTGCATATGCACAAAAGTCAAACTTATTGTAATTAAGTAGAAGGCCAACTTAACTATGGGTTATTTTGCTATAGCATACCAGGATGTAATGAAACTGCAAGTTTCAAAGGCGTTCAAGGAACTATATTAGTTAGTAATCTACTTTTAATTGCATTGTTATCGTTAACAAAGTGACATAAACCATTTTTTTCATGTTTTATTATGTGGTTCCTGTGGCACATTAATTATATATAATTAAATATTTATTTACGCTTTGTTGCAGACCACATAAATATAAAAGAATAATAAGGCAATATATCAAAGAAAAATAGAACTAGATGGGTGAGGAACAAAAAGGGTTCTTATCGCTAATAGGGTTCTTATCGCTAATTAGCGTGTCTTTCAGACAACCTTTTGGTTTCCCAACCAAACAAATAATAATAGGAATATTACCGCCGAGTACTACAGGCTATTTTATATTGTCATGAAAAGGTGTTAACTGTCAGATATCATAATAACTTTAATTGAAGCGGGAAAAATGGCCGTTAAGTTATTGTTAGGTACAGGGACGTGCGCGAAACGATGGTAGCTCGCTAGTTCTTTATAAAAGTTGTCTAAAATCATGGCACAATATTGTCATCTTATGCTGGGAAATGATCTAGATAATGATCATTTACAGATTTTTTAAATATATTCTACAATTTTGAACGTTTAATATAAACAGTATAAGAAAGTATTATATAAACAGGTAAGCTATTTCACAGCACAGTTGCTTATAATAAAATTTAAAAGTCATCATAAATTAGCAAATACTCACACTGAGTTCCCTCTTTAGCTCCAAATTCCATGAGCATTTTGGCAAGATGTCGATTGCACGCCAACACCGCCACATCAAGCGGCGACAAGCCGTCTGTGTTAAGACTGCAAATATTAAAATACAGTATTATTTTACTAATACTATTTAGTATAAATTAAAGTTATTCTACCCATAGTACGAGAGGGAGATATAAAATAAATCTGATAACGTTTTAAATAAAACTATCTTTTCGGATTATTTCACTGATTTATTTTGACTTTTGGTTCCCAACCAAATTTTGGGGAACCATAAATCAAAATAAATCCGCGAAATAATCCGAAAAAATAGTTTTATTTAAAATGTCAAATATTCGCGTAAATCTAAGAAAATCTAATGACGTTATTAAAAAATGAATTGTGTGGTCCAAAATTAAGTCATAATCCTAATTGTATGTTAGATAAAATATTTTTAGAAAACCATATATTAGTGCTGTGTTTATTGAATTGCCAATAAATAATAATCATGTTTCTACTAACAATAAAGTTGTAAACTGAAACTTCTCTGTTCGTGGCTCGTTTAGTTCGAAACGTCGGTCATTAGTTATTTATCTGCTCTCCAATGGGTATATGAGGGAAACGATCAGTAAGTACTTATCTAATACTGCGTCAAGTTTATTTCTTAAGCGGAACCGAGACGATCAATCGAAATTGTCTATTTTACGTTATTGTCAGTTGCCATTGATCGTTTACAAGTATATACAATTGATTGAAATATATACAATTTTACTGAGTCATTGACAATCGTTTCCGTCATTCCGCTGCGTAGCTGCCTACAGATTAAGGAGACTACTAGCTGCCTTTGCGGACACTAATGCCCGATTTCACCAACAACCCATAAGCTACCACCTACGTATGGGATCCCTAGCTAAGAATTCCCCTAAACTAGCCCCTAAATTAAATTTCGTTTTACCATCGTATTTAAGCCCATATTTCGAGCACCTAAAGTTAGGGGGCCTTTTAACATTTAGGTGACCCCTAACTGTCGGTGAAACAGAAACTGCCCCCTAACAGCCCCCTAACCATGCTTAGGGAACCCCTAAACTTAGGAGACGTTGGTGAAATCGGGCATAACTGTTCTAATGCACAAAAGCATACTGAGCGCAAACACATTGCTGCACTGCATCAATTACACTTCAATTGATAATACCGTAGCACATTGACATTCGCGATTGATTGTCTCGGGTCCGCTTTAGAGGATCTTCGGCTTTCTTAGTAATTTGACCAGTTCTTATTTAAAAAGACACATAAATATTTCTTGAATAGTATCCATAGCCAAATAATGTGAAATTTATATTGCAATAGCAATGTTGTTTCGTAGTTCTCGTAACTTATAGTGTAAGTGCATTTAGCAGGAGTAGTACAGTAAAGTGCATTATAAAGAGAATGTACTTAAGGTAAACGGATATCAGACAATATTTATGTCCATTTAGATAGACTCAAGTACAGTAAAGTAGGATCGGGTAACATCTTTAAAAGGAAGTGGAAGAAGGCTCTTCTTTAAAATTTAATTTTAAAAATATTACACTGGCAACATGTCTACATATTTATTATATTAAAGCGTCTGAGAGAACGTTCCCACAAAACGTCTGTTGCTCGTGAAGCATACAATATCATGACTGCAACATATTATGCACGCAAGTTGAATAAATAATATCTATGAATTTACAATACATGCTGATTTTAATATTATTCTAAATGTACATTTTGTATATATCATTAAGTATATTTGTAATTTTCTTTATTACCTATACATATAATAAAATTCTAACTAAGCCGAATCTGTACATTAAATATTTTTTGGAAAATCTTATTGAAATGAACATTATTATCAATGCAGAGGCCGAATCTATAGTTTTTAGAATTTTTGTCTGTCTGTCTGTCTGTTACCGAATCACGGAAAAACCACTGGAGGGATTTTGATGACATTTGGTATGGTGGTAGCTGGTTATCCGGGTGAACATATAGGATACTTTTTACCGCGGGAAAATATCTTATTTCTGAGAAAATACAAAAACTGCAATGTAAGAGTATACTAATATGTAAAACCTAAGAATTTGGTTTTTGATCATCTGAATGCGGGCGGAGCCGGAGGCAGTGCTAGTCCTATATAATATACAAAACGGAGTTGAACTAAATGAATAATTTATACTTGAATACAAAAATGTTAGTTTGTCTATTTGTAAATATGCATTGAAATAAAATATTGGCAAGTTGTTATGTTAACGTATCTGATATTGTACATACCTATTATAATCAACGTGAGTTATCGCTGGAGCGCGGATTTATTATTATTTTAAGCGTAAAATTTCCGATTTATTAGTCAGAATAGCATATAGTAGTATGTATGTGCAAGTACGTACCTAAGTATTTGTACTAGCATTATATTATGTGTTACCTCACCGTGAGTGATGTTAGGGTGAGTGACGTGTACGTAAATATTTGTAATGAATGCAATATAATTTTACCTATTAACATCAACATCGGTCGACTCCAATATGTTCCTCGCCTTGTCGAGGTAGCCATGTTCAACTGCCGCGAAGAGCGCTGTAACAAAAAAAACAATGCAACTTTCCAATCTCTTCAATTTGCCATCAAGATGCGTTACACTGAAAAGATTGATAGATACGAAGTAAACCTTCTATGGAGTTTCTAACAATCATATCTACATTTTAATATCTTGCAAATTCTTTGTAAAATAAAAATATAAAAACGAACAAAAAGGAAACGAAAACAAATTAAACAATATAATACAAAAAAAAAATTATAAAAAAAAAACAAAAAAATACCATGCAAATGTATGTTAACTTGTGTGACTTTGTCTTGTTGCGCACGCGCATCCTTTTGCAGGCGGCGAGCCGCTTTGTCGAGGTGCGGGGGGAGCGGCGCGCACGCGCTTAGCGATGGCAACTCCCCCCCGCACCCGTCCAACAGCGCGCCGTACTGGAGTTCTATATAAAATAATAAAAAATAAAATAAAAAAATAATTCTGTAAAAAAAATTAACGTTTCGAATTCAAAGCAGGAGTGTATGTTTTATGAGGTTGATTACTATAAAGGGTTTTAATAAACATATTCAATAGATATTACATATATTTAAAGTCTACAAAATCCAACCTGTAACAAGAGATATTTCTTTTGTAGTAATAATAAATCCAATGAAAACATTATATCGTCATACTTTTAATATTCTTTTTATAAACGTGATAGGACTCAGTTGTAAGAAGCTTAGAAAAGAGAATTATGATAGATATGTTGCTTAAATATAAATAGAAATTTGTATTGAATACCAGTTACCTACTAGTAAAAACTAAAAACTGTAATTTAGTTGGACTTCCGAACATGTCGCATTTTATTACATTGAACACTAAGCAAGACATTAGGTATCTACTGTGTTATCTAATCTTAACTAATGAATTGTTGACTCTAGTTGTTGAATTTGGATTTACGATTCCTACTAACGTGGTATACAACTGTAAACTCTACATAATAATTTGTACTACAATTACGAGTATTTAGTAGATTAACTTAAGCATTATGCCGCAAGACTCGTGTTCTATTATTGCATGCACATGTTTCAGGTGTTTCTGTGTGTTTTATTAAAAAAACGCTTATGGCATTAATTTTACTGCGAATCTTAGTTTTAAAAGTGAGATATCGAACAATAACACACACACACACACACACATACACACACACATATATACACATACACACACGCACATACATGTAAACACATTACACATTTACAATTACAATTATATTTGATGTGCATATCATTAGCATGATTAATTTAATTTATTCAGACTTTTTCTTCTGTCCATTACATAAGATATCATAATAGAGTAATCTAATTTTGGCCATATTTGTTAATAAGTTTGTGCTCAAACTGTATTTTATTATTTTTGCAACGCTGTAAGATCACCAATAAATAAATAAATAAATAAATAAATAAATAAATAAATAAATAAATAAATAAATAAATAAATAAATAAATAAATAAATAAATAAATAAATAAATATCATTAACAAGTAGAGACAAAATATTAAAAAAAATATGAATAATTAAAAAAATCCGCAGTAGCGTATGTAAATCTGATATAGTCTAGCAATAAACTTGTTTACGCTCAAAATGACGCAGTAAATACTTATCTAAAAAAACAAAGAGCTCAATCTAAGCAAACCTAAAGATTCAGACAAATCTTGATATATTTTGTGGCATTTACAATAAACTTGGCGCTAAAGTATAAGTATAGTTTTTAATGTTTTACTTGTAAAATATAATGTATAATAATTTTATGACTTAACTTCATTATAGATTAGTTAATCTTAAGACTTTTGAGAAGATTAGTGCTTTTCAATTTTTAATATAAGTAATATACGAATAGCTTTATTATCAGAATTATAGATGGAATATATTTTTTTTCTGTTTTCTATCTTTAGTAATGAAAATATTATGTTCATATTGATGCTCCGAAAGCCTCCTTTACCTCCAGGTAAATTTCTAAGAAATTAATTAAAATTCTAAGAAATCTATTGTTAACTGACACGCCGGCGTGTCCGCGGTTGTGGAGGGATTAAAAGCAAATTCACCTTCAATTCAAATTTTTTACTTAAATTTGATTTTCACATGTATCATATAATTTTACTAAACAAAATTTATACCTGTCTTTAACCTGACAAAAACCAATGACATTTAATGTAATAACATTAATATTATCATAACACGATTGGATTTACGTCTACGTCTCTAACTTAAAACATTATACATATATTATCCTCTGCGATTTGCTATGCATAAGTTTTCCCGAGGCCAAATGACGTTGTCAAATTATGTCCCGATTCCATTAATTACTGGAAGCAACGTATCTCATCAGAAGCAGTTGACCCGTGTAATTAATTTGATCGCCCGTCGGTTTATGGTTAGATACACCCAAATAATAACTTAAACGCATGTTGATTGGTTTATTGCATTTGACATCATTGCCTAACATTGATTTACAGTTTATTTGATATTTCTAGCCAGAATTTATTCCCTTTTTTGTATAAAACTAGCGACTCACCCTTGCTTCGCTCGGGTTTGTCAATGATACGTTTTAATTAGATATAAATAGTTATTAGCCAGCGTTAGCCATATACATTTTTTTCGTGTTTTCTTTCTGATGTTTTAATAGTTTTTCTGCTATTCGGGTCGGAAACAAATCTAACAAAATAAAGATAATAGAAATCGGTCCAGCCTTTCTTGAGTTATATGTATATATATATATATATATATATATATATATATATATATGTGTGTGTGTGTGTGTATAAGGTTTGTAACAAACTCGACTTTATGTTATATATAGATTTAATATACTATATCTTATTTTACCGACCAATTTCCCATTATTTCGTTTTCGTGTCTTTTTTGTTCTACTTGATATTGGCGAAGTAATCTGTACATAGGTAACTAGCACGCTTTAAAACAAACCTAAACTAATTTCAAACATAAAAAGTCTATACATACAATTGAAGTGATAATTCTAATCAATTTGTACATACGGACACGCAAAATTATATATAAGATAGTAAAGAAACCCAAAATTTAACCTAACTAGTTGGTAGTACTGTTAGGTACATATGCTATTCTTTTAAATAGGTTGGTCAGATCATATATTATTTTGTGGGGAAATGTATGACATTACTGCTACCTTGTTTGTTGTTTAAGGATTTTCTTGTATTTACAGTATGTTCATATATATTTGAATATTAATAACGTAACGCCAATCTCGTTTATTTTTCCTCAAAAGTTGGTTGAAGGAAAACTTTGATATTGTATGGTAATAAGGTAAAATAAGTTTTCCGCATTATTTGACACAATACTTGTTTAAGAAATGTCAAAAGTTAATTTTTGAATGTTGTTGAATACTTTTTGTTTATTAAACGTGGTCAGGTGGACAAAAAACTAAATAATACTCGTAATTAATACGATACAAGCGCGGGTTAGGACACGAACATAAAACAAGTTTATATACTTTACATACCACACAATTATTGCCCGCGATAACTTATATAGTAGATATGTTGATCATAGCAAAAAAGTATTACTAACTATATTCATTCCGAATTTAAGAAAAAAAAAAACTACACATCCTCACATTTTTTTTTAAATATTTTTAGTGTGGCCAACTATAGAGAAAAGTACCTGTCTCCGGAATATTAAGTAAGAAATTAAATAATTCAAAAGCTCAATATTACAAAGCACTCTCCTACAATGCGCCTTTAATATCGAAACAATAGCAATAGTTAATGTATTAGTTTGGATTTCGCATTTCATCGTTTCAAGGTAAGGCCTCGAGCAGCATGTTCAATAGCCTTATTTGGCAACACACGCCACATTAATATTAGGAAGGTAATCGGTTAACCCTTTAGTATTGACAAGCGACAGATTTATCCGCAATTGTTGATGTGCGAGCGTGTAATACGATCTTCACAAATAGGAGTACGTGTAGAATAAATGAAACTGCTTTAAGGTTATTTTTATTTAAATTCTAAAGTGGTTCATACACAAAAGATTAAAATTGTCGATAAGATTTGAATTTTTTAAAAACAGATTTAATAAATGATTGCTATTATTATGCTCAAGCAAAAAAATGTGAGGAAATATGCATGTCTGAGAGAACCTAATTAGTTTTCATATGACATGTGAAGTATACCAAACCACACGTGGCCAGCGTGATGGTATATGGCCTGGTCACCTTCGCGTTCTTTAATGCGAGGGAGTCAACTGCCTAACAGTGGGACGTTAATATAGAGCCGAATGAGAAAGAATAAATAGGATTTTTTTGAAATCTGTCACTATACAGTTTTGTAACAGCATAACTTTTTGATACAATACTACTGTGTTAGTAATATCGCTTAAGGAAATTGTCAACGATCTGAATCTGAATACTGTGGTACTACGATTCATTCTAAAGAATTTGTCCTCTAGTACGGGATCCTCTTAGGCTGTAGTTTGCCTATAGCGGGGATAATTGGGGTTACGGCTGCATTCGGAAGCGAATTCCTTATATTCTATTATGTATAGTGGGTATTAATGCACTTCAAACCGGTGAGCCTTTTATACCCCTTCGCAAGATTACATTGAAAAAAAAAAAAACATTCCAGTGTTATCAAAACTAAAATAATTAGGTTATTGAATAAGTTCTTTCTTACATTAAAGTACAAATATTTATTTAATTAGATAAACAACGAGTATATGTTTCTGTACGTAATTACGTAAGTCTTATGATTCAAAGTTATTCTTCCTCTTGACTTTCGTCTCATTGTTTTAGAAAACAAACGAATGCCTTCCAATTACAAAATATTAATTTTAACGAGCAATAATATCGCAATCAGGAAACTGGATAAAATATCTAAGGCAGTATTTATAAAAAATCCTATAATATTTATTTGTGAACCAAAGACATTAAGAATCTATACATATAATAAAATTCTGAGTCAAATCTGTACATTAAATATTTTTTGGAAAATCTTATTGAAATAGACGTTATTATGATACAGAGGCCGAATCTATAGTTTTTATAATTTTTGTCTGTCTGTCTGTGTACGGCATCACAGAAAAACTACTGGACGGATTTTGATGAAATTTGGTATGGTTATAGCTGATTATCCGGGTCAACATATAGGATACTTTTTACTGCGCAAAAATATCTCATTTCTGAGAAAAAATACAAAAACTGTAATGTAAGAGTATACTAATATGTAAAACCTAAGAATTTGGTTTTTGGTCAACTGAACGCGGGCGGAGCCGCGGGCAATGCTAGTAACGTTATAATATTCACTCATACATAAGGTTCAACTTACCATAATAAAATGCAAGGAAAGAAAATATCTATTTCAGATAAATTACAATACAATCGAAGGTACAAACTTTTTCCTTACCTTATGTTTAAAAGGGTTTCTTTTCATTATAATGTAAGTAATAATCGCGAAATGAAATTTCTAAGGTTGCTCTGTAGATATGAAACACGTAAAAGCGATCGTTGTAATAAAAAACCTCCATAAGTAGGAAATTTCCCATCATTGTGTGATTAAAGTACCAATTCATGGTAATGCATGGCTTACTTTTGTTTAAATTACGAAAACGGTTCTACTTGTTCACATTCTCGAAACATGTTATTGTCCTGACTTCGATTCCATGCGTCGACACATCGCGTGGACAATAGCTCAATTATACGTCTATGTAAAAACAGTTTGAAAGTAACAGTGATGTATCGAGCTGTATAGCGGAAATAAAACCGTGGAGGCCATTGCGCGGAACGCGACATGAGATCGACAAAATCGGATATGGAAACGAACGGAAGTAAAAAATCTCACAACGTACCGAATAAAAATGCACTCGACACTATTTAAGGGCACAGAATAAAATTAAAAAACTGACCGCATGTGAAGAAGTCAACCATGTCACTCCATTCGAGTAGCATTGTTGTGACTGAAGTAGTCGCACGGTTTGGGGCTCAGTGCATGTGCTATCTAACATCTATGTCATCACCGCATCTGCGAGTGTGCGAAAGTGGTTACACGATGCTTGAGTGCAAGTTCAAATTAGCTTCCAGTCAAGTAGTAATAGGCCCATTTAGAACATTTGCTCCTGTTCTATATAGCTTCCTAGACTTGTTATAATATTAAAAACCTACGTACATGTCTCGACTGCTACCGTTATTGTGATTTAATGTCATAGTTTTAGTAGGTAGCCTTCCTGTTACTAATTTTATTGGCCATGAGCATACTAATTTCTTTTATTAGACGAAAATGGAATTCGTAAGCCCACTCTATATATTACTAGCGAAAAACAAAAACAAATCTATTCCTCGAGAACCGTAAATTTTTCCGGGATAAAAAGTAGCCTATGTGTTATTCCAGACTAAATTCTATCTCTGTGCAAAATTTCATCCAGATTCGTTCAGCCGTTCTGGCGTGAAAGAGTAAGAGTAACAAACATCCACACATACTCACAAACTTTAATGTTTATAATATTTATACAGATAATAAACGTGCTGAATTTATTTTAAATTGCAAACGGAAGTACCTAGTAAGTATTGGTATTTAGGGGTCTTTCCATAACGACGACAATTAAGAAAACCAATATCCGATTACTAATGGTCTCTATCAGCCAAAAGGTCAATGTCTCTACTTTCAAGATAATCGTTCATTTCGTAACACGGAACGTAATATCGTTCAAATACTCCCACACTGTGTTTCTGCTATCCGCTTATATAACGAAATCTCATGATATCATACTTCAAATACAATGAAAAACAACCTACTTATTCTATTGTATTTTGGAAATTGTAGTTTATAATTTAATTGGACAGTAAGAGTTTAATGGTTAATATTCGCAAAATCACGGGAGCAAATTCCATAATTTACAGAATATACTCTTTTACTGTTATATCTACAATAAAGAAGTAATAGAAGCTGAATTTTCATTCATTTATGCTTATGAATAATATTAATAACTAGCGGCTCACCCTCGCTTCGCTCGGGTTCGTCGTTAGGTACGTTTTAAATAGATATAAATAGTTATTAGCCAGCGTTAGCCATATAATTTTTTTTTTGTTAATAATATTGACAAATATTGACATTAATATTTATACGATTCTAAGGTCACTCAATTGCCATCAATGTTTTGCCTTCCCGGAACCTCTCCACTAACACTAAAACTTTATGTTATGGCATTAAAGTTCAAATTGACTTTTAAGTATTATTACGAAACTTTTGTATGGGAGTATATAAAAGTGTTGTTTTTAGACTTTTTCAGGCAATTTTTTAAAATTTTCTCTCCGTAAGAACCATCCTCGTACTTTAAGGAATATTCTAAAAAAAGAATTAGCGAAATCGGTTCAGCTGCTCTCGAGATTTGCGCTTACCAACAAATTCAGCGATTCATTTTTATATTATAGAAGATTTCTTTTCGTTCATTGTCTGTAAGTAGTAAAAATAGGAGTTGAAGTGACATAAACTATACATATACTACACTATATACTACCATAAAACTGAACTGTGTATAACTACTAAGACATAGTTTAAACCGGCCTTTAGTAATAAAAATTACGGACAAGTGCGAGTCGGACTCGCCCACCGAGGATTCCGCACAAATTTGTAGAAAATCTGTTTAACTTTAATTTTCATCTTTTTTTATTTTGGAATTTTTCATTATTAAATAAAACTATCTTTTCGGATTATTTCGCGGATTTATTTTGATTTTTGGTTCCCGACGTTTCGAATGCTTTACAGCATCCATGGTCACGGGAGAGACTGAGGTGTTACATGTCTTAAAGATATAGTTGTTACAGACAGCCTACCCACAATTAACAAAATGAAAATTGCACCAATTACATTACAATATTTTTAACTTTAAACATTTTTTATAATTTTAATTATAATTGAATATGGAAAATTATTTATTTAATTTTTGCTATTATTTTTATAATTACTACAATTTTAAAAATATTAATTAGTAATCTATATTTAGTGTTGCCATTATTATATTTATAACCATAAATAAAAATATAAAAATATAGTATTAATTATTAAAGCATATAATTGTTCTATGTGTAATTTAAAAAGTTAAAATTAAATTACGGATAATCATTTTAATTTAGTTTGCTATTATTTAAAAACAACTTACTAAGCAACACTATTAAAATATACTTTTACAAATGAAAAATATTAATCTGATAAGCTGTCATTTTGATCTACACAGTATGAACTTACTACATCTGCCTGTCTGTTATGTTTATATTTATTATTTGATTTTATTATATTAATAACAGGATCCCATGACGATGGTAGTACCCAGCCATCTTCCCTATTGAAATTTGGATGTTTTTTAATTTCTATGGCTTCTCGAATCATTCTAGGGCGATATCGGTTTCCGCACATTCGGTATCGGTACGCATAAAACCGATATCGCCCTAGAATGATTCGAGAAGCCATAGAAATTAAAAAACATCCAAATTTCAATAGGGAAGATGGCTGGGTACTACCATCGTCATGGGATCCTGTTATTAATATAATAAAATCAAATAATAAATATAAACATAACAGACAGGCAGATGTAGTAAGTTCATACTGTGTAGATCAAAATGACAGCTTATCAGATTAATATTTTTCATTTGTAAAAGTATATTTTAATAGTGTTGCTTAGTAAGTTGTTTTTAAATAATAGCAAACTAAATTAAAATGATTATCCGTAATTTAATTTTAACTTTTTAAATTACACATAGAACAATTATATGCTTTAATAATTAATACTATATTTTTATATTTTTATTTATGGTTATAAATATAATAATGGCAACACTAAATATAGATTACTAATTAATATTTTTAAAATTGTAGTAATTATAAAAATAATAGCAAAAATTAAATAAATAATTTTCCATATTCAATTATAATTAAAATTATAAAAAATGTTTAAAGTTAAAAATATTGTAATGTAATTGGTGCAATTTTCATTTTGTTAATTGTGGGTAGGCTGTCTGTAACAACTATATCTTTAAGACATGTAACACCTCAGTCTCTCCCGTGACCATGGATGCTGTAAAGCATTCGAAACGTCGGGAACCAAAAATCAAAATAAATCCGCGAAATAATCCGAAAAGAAAGTTTTATTTAATAATGTCAAACATTCGCGTAAATCTAAGAAAGTATTATTGGAATTTTTCCTTTATTTATGTTGCTTGCTTTTATTTAAGACCTTGCTTTTTTCCAAATTTCTTGATTTTAATTAAATGTTTCAATGGGAATTACCATATAGGTTTTCGACCCAAAACCCACGGACCACGGACAGAAAGACGGACAGACGGACAAGAGAGTGATCTTATAAGGGTTCCTTTTTTACCTTTTGAGGTACGTTAAAAATAATAGAACACATTAGTGCTCTACGCATAAAATTAATTATACGGATAAAAAAATAACAACTTGATTATACGTATTCCTCCTACAATGAAAATTACATGTAAACTTGAAGCCAGTCACATATAAAACCTAGTTTTATTTATAATTAAAATAAATAGACATTAACTTGGGAATTTTGTAATCGTACCGCCGCTCTTGTAACAAAGAAAAAGCCCGACCTAATTAAATAGAGCATGCAGTCATCAAAACAAATAGCTTCATCAGAGTAGCAGTCACCGTTTTAATATTTTATCTAATACAATTTATTTAAATAAGTTTAAGACAACAGCTATCTGGTATTTTATTTATTAAAATACAAATACTTTCGCAAGTTCGTCTAAACACCATTCATTCCTACTGGTGCTAAAATCCAGTACGCGACGACAGCACGAACTTTCAGTTCGTGAAGCTATGTTGTAAAAATTTGTCATTTAGGTGCCATAGATCCAACGAAATTTTTCGAGGGAGGAAGATATTATAATAATAGATAATAGCCAATTTTCAGTTTTTAAATTTTAAAACATTAGTCTCGTAACTCATTCAAAAAGTAATACGTTGAATTATATATTTTTTATTACTTTATTAAAATACTAAAAGAAATGTTGATTTTCATTTAAATCGTAATGTTAATCTGTTCGGAACTATAAAATCTCTTAAAGTATCTTTACAATTATAGTTTGAAATCCCGATCCAGAAGTCACCAGCACTTCTGTTCTTAACTAAACGAATGTACTTTTTTTTAATTATAGATACGTATCTCGTAATTAAACACAACAACAAATATTTAATATCCATTTGTAACCTATTAAAATAAGTAGAATTTTTTTTTTAATTTAGCATTTTGATTTAATTTTGGGATATAACACCTAACATGTGCAATATAAACAAGTTATCTTAAGTTCTAAATGATTACACAAAAATATAACGGGTAAGGCGAATGAATCTAAGAAGTTGGAACGAGTATGATTATCACTAATGCATTATTAATGTTTAAGTTATAATCGCAATCTTTAATGAATTTAAAATTCGCATCACGTAATTACGTTTGGGCGTGGATGGTGAAATCCATCTATAAGAAATAGCGAATAATTCTCAAAGAAATTACGACCGAACCTAGCAAAAATATAATAATAATAATGTTATATAATCATTATTATTATATAATCATAATTTTATATAGACCACTATATAAATAAATATGTTGGGACATTAACACACAGCACCATCTAGTTCCATGGTAAGCTACAAGGCCTGTGTTACGGATACTAGGTAGTTGTTACACTACACTTATATAAATTCAAATACATATATATTATAAATATAAACACCCATGACTGGAGTACAAACATTCGTATTTCTCATACAAATGAATGCCCCCTGCGGGATTCGAACCCGCGACCGCTGGCACAGCAAGTAGGGCCCCTACAAACTGAGCCAAACGTGTCGTCAAATTATTATGAAGTTTAGTAATGTTTCAGTCAATGCTACTGAACAGAGAAAGAATAGATAGATATAGATAGTTTAATAAATGTTCGACGTGATTCTTTAAATTGGCATAACTTTTTTATTTATGAACCGATTGACATGAAACAAACACGAAATGTTAAGTGAAGCTTACCACAATATATTAGTGAAAACCACATATAAATTGGATAAGCCGTTTATGCACAAACGCACAAACAAACAGATAAGCAGACAAAAATTCTAACAATCATTGTTTTGGGTGCTATTTGAGTTGATAAAGGTCTCAATAATATTGTTTCTCATCTATCTTCCATGTACAGACAGCGATCCGTTACATTTATATATATATATATATATATATATATATATATATATATATATAGATATAGATAGATAGATAGATAGATAGATAGATAGATAGATAGATGTATAGATGACATAACATTACGATTATTATTAGAATTATTTAAAATCTAGTAGTCCATATGTATTTGGCTCGGTTTGATTATAATTGTAACTTGAAAATTCACTCCTTACTTACCTTCTTTATCTTTATTTTAACTTTAACTGGTTCAGTAATTACAAAATAATATCCAATTGAACAACTTCTTTTATCTTGTAAGTTGCTGCAATCTATAATGGGAAGTGGTGAGTACGTATGAATGTTTCCCACGACGCCAGTGAAAAGCGTAGCATTTCTTGTGCGAGTGCAGATTTTACTTTTAATTTCTTTTTAACTGCTATATTTAGAAGACAATCTATTTTAATCTACGAGTAGATTATGAAATTGAAAAAGAAAAGAGTATAAAAAACTCATGTAAGGAAGATGAAATGAGTTTGTTCGCGGTCTTTTGTGTTAAAAAAATTATTTGAATTGGTCTTTTTAAATGAAAAAATACTTTTGGATAGAATATTAGTGTATAATATATATTCTATAATTAGCTACACTTTATTAAGCTAATATTGTCATTTGAGGGATAACAAAGCTCAAACAAGAAAGCCTTTTGTGTCTAGTTGTATAAGCCAATTATAATCTAAATAGCGAAAATCTTTTGACGACGACGATTTTGAATTTGGGACTTATTAACAGAATTAGGTAAGCTATTTTAATTTTTTAAAGTGTTAGAAAGTTTCAAAAGAATTTTAAATGTAGGTATTTCAAACAACGGGTAATGGTATTTGAAGTGTTAGGTGTTTATCATCGAAAGCGGAGCCGCGGACTGACGTTAGTTACATAAAAGTAACTTGGAGATCAAGATATAAAAACTAATGCAAGTCCAATTTACTGCACTTTAATAAGTTAACATAATTTCAGCAAAATTTCCTCCAAAATATTAACGTAACTTTTTAATTGAACTGGCAATGGAATGTTGTTATTATGCTCAAGACTAACACATCACAGTTCACGCAACTCGTTGCATTACGAACATAAATATCTCTAAATTAAGGAAATTACACATATTTACACATATTACTGAGTTATAAAACAGCATTTAATTGTTTTATACTCTAGTTAACGTGTGAAGCAATAATTCATATTGGGTAAATTGACATTTAAATAGCATATTGACGTGTCTCAATATAATATTCATGTTAGACGTTATCTTTAAGGCTGATTTAATCTGTGCCGTCTATCTAAATTATGTAGATTGAGAATTAATCATAAGAATTGCAAATTAAAATATAATGTAATTAACATATAATAATTATGTTTTAAATGTATTTAATGCAATATTTTAAAAATAGGCCATATTGAATTGTTATTCAAGGTTCAAGTTAATTAGGCTTGTGTATGTATATACATGCAAACGTATCGTGTAGATACTATGAAGGCAGGCAGGTAGCTGATATTATACGAAGTAACTTAGGCTACTTTTATTTTGGAAAAAGAATTAAGAGTTCCGCGCCAAAAAATTAAAACCTATGAAATTGTGAACAAAATCCATGTACCTAGGGACGCACAGGGGTAAGTCGGTTAAAAATAATATATTACATATACATATACTAACATAAAATGTTATCACTGCAACTAAGTACTACTTTAAAAAGTTTGTTGATGTTTACGTGCGATAAAATATTTTAGTGATTTGATAAATGAAATAAATTAGATTGATATGAGATTACGATAACTATTTGTTTATGAATAGACTAGGAAGTTATGGCTCAAAAGGCGTGAAATAGATTAATAGAAATGATAGATTTATTACAATTACTCGAGATAGAGTTTCGAGTATAACTTATAATAAAAGATCAGTTAATTTTTTTTTAAATAACATCTTAGTTAACATAATTTAAAGTTCTAAACTAAATTAGCAATATTATGGGGTAAGTTCTAAACTTTATGTCATAGAGTTTGTTAGAGGAGTTAGTAAAGTACCTTAAGTTAAACAGAATTTAATGTCAAATTTTCTAAGCTAAAGACCAGGTCGCTCGATTTGCTTGTAAAAAAATGCAGTTTTATTGCTACTATATCATACTGTTCATTTTCATTGTTTGTGTTGAAACACTATTTACCTACTCGGGCAATAAAACTGTGTAATACTACATTCAAGACCAAGATTAAAATTACTTTGTAATACTCTTATTACTATTCACTACCAATTTAAATAAAACTATATTTTCGGTATTTTTTTGCCAATTTATTTAGATTTTTGGGTCCCGACGTTTCGAATATTTTACAGCAATTATGGTCACGTGCTGTAATAAAGCATTCGAAACGTCGGGAACCAAAAATAAAAAAAAATCGCGAAAAAATCCTCAAAGATAGTTTTATTTAAAATGTCAAATATTCGCGTAAATCTAAGAAAGTGTTATATTCACTACGAAATTAAATTTGATAATGTTTGATGACTGACAGAATATGATAAACTAAATTGAATCATAGATACGATTCACAGCGTTATGAATCAGTTATATTAATTATTATTTATTGAATAATACTATTTACGTAACGCAAACAACGATACGGTGTTCTAATTGTAATTTCGAGATTGGTTTTCGCGCATTAAATCAGAGCCAACGTAATTTACCATATCAGGTATAATAAATTAGGTTCAAAACAATGTAAATTCGATACGTACTTAAGTAGGCCGATGGAGATAAAGGTATCTGCTTCCTATCCTTTGGCGGAGTGCTGTACACGAATGCCTGATTGACGCACCCACGTGGTTGATGGCCGCACGTCATATCGCTGTCGGAACCTCTTCGCGTACGTCGATGTGTAGATAGTTCTGTTATCAATTTCGCGCTTTCGGATTTACCCATACCCTTCAGTTTTCTCTTGCCTTTGTCTTTTTCTGGTGAGTTTATGTGCAATATTGCTGCCGCTTTTGGAGGTATCTTCTCAGGTACTAGCAGCTCCTTAGCGGAAATACTCTTTTGCTTTTTGTTTATAAATAGATCGCAAAATTTATTCCTCTCAATTCTTCTGTGTCTTTGAGGTTTCAATGTTAGATCGATGTCACCGCTCTTTCTTCTCACTTTAGCCAGTTCCGGCTTCCGTTTGGCCATGTTCGGTGTTTTCGCTTTGTACGTGCCGTCAATACCCGTGTATGCTACTGTCGAATCCTTCTCTGCGTTGAAAATCTTAACAACGTTCTCGCGCTTGATTGACTCTATATCGTCAGAAGTTTCCTCGTCTTTCGTAGATCGCCAGCGGTTGCCTATCAATCGCAAGGAAGCGCGGACAGATCGGGACCTGCGAAGCCCCCCTTGCTCCTTCTTGAATTTATCGAGGAGGGTCTCCATAGCCCTACGAGGGGTGAAGGGGCGCGCGGGGCCCTGGGCATTGCACGTTACAATCGACTACGCGCGCGCTATTCAATCGAATGATAGTTACGTGAGTCGTTTTCTTTCCGACGTTCACTCGTAGTGGCGTCGGCACGTTGAATGCTGGTAACAATAATCAAAGTTCTGGTAGGGCTCGATACGACCCCATACATCTCAAGAGCCCGGTCTTTGCCTACTACGGACGCGACTGTCTGATTGTGACAATCTGGTCTCATTTGCACAATCTCTTGATTTGATAAGATAGCTATGCCTGATATGACAATTTAAATGTACGTATGTCAGCAAGACAGAGATTTATTTATCATGACGCAGATTTAATGAGTATAAATATGGTATTAAATATTATGTCGATTTAAAACAATGCATTTAAAATAATGCATTGGTCTCGTGATATGCTTGTGGAAAGTATTACGTGTAATAGCATTGAGACGTGATTTATGACGCGATAGGGACTCACTATAAACCCAGCTTTCGTAGTGATACTTTATTTCGTAATCAAACTCAAAATTATTGTATGATAGATAAGCGAATAAATTTTTAGTTATATAAATTACTTAATATTGTCTATCATGCAAATTCTTTTTGAATTTTAAAGTTCTTTTTTATTGGTTAATGTCTCATTGTAGGAATGAGCAGTCAAATTTTAGTCCACTAAAATATGTAGTAGTCTGGGAGACGATGGTCAGTGATAACCAACGACTATAAAAATATAGACATAAAGACAGAAATGATATTTTTTTGATTTAATACTATTGGTTTATTTCTCACTTATCATAAAAAGTATTGAAAATTAACTCGTTCCTTGGCAAGGCTAAAAATACTAATGAGGCTTAACTCGCCGGTTCGAAAACTTTCTTCGATAAGGACTACAATTATTAACAGCCCGTAAAGAAGTTCAGATGTCCCAAAAAATCTTAGGTCATTACTTACCTGTTTTTTTGAGACAATTTTAAGTAATGTGAAAATAAAAAGTTTTGGTCAATGTCATGTAATTTATCGTTGATTTTTTAACCTCCGACGCAAAAAGAGGGGTGTTATACGTTTGACGTGTGCATCATAGCTCCCGAATGAATGAAGCGATTTCAATTTAGTTTTTTTTGTATTAAAAGTGACTTATGTGTGAGTCTTCTTAGACATGTTTGATGAAAATCAGTTGAGCCGTTTTAAAGTTGTGGGGGGTGAAAGTGGGGAAGAATAACCGAATGTCTGCAATTTTTTTACTTTTTAAAGGGAACTTAGATTTTTGTGTGGGGGGTTTTTAATTTTTTTTATTTAATATATTATCTCCTTTATTCTGCAGGAAACAATAGCATTCTTTTTTTAAAATTATCTACTGCGATATTCGATATTTGATTTTATTTGTTCCACAACTTGTGCTCTAAAGCAATATGTATTATAATGTTACAGTATTTGACAAGTGTAGGTATATTTACGTGCACACCATGTGCCATGTTCTTAAATGGAAAAATGGCTATTCATTTCGTATTTTTATAGAGACATGTTGACACTGATAGTGACACACAAAGGGTAAGGATAGAGTTACTAATGCCTTAATTACAGCCTTTATTTTTATCAGATGTCGGTCAAATCAATATGATTCCACTTAACCTTTTAGCAAACTTATACAAATAAATATTAAATCTATACTAATATTATAAAGAGGCAGAATTTGTTTGTTTGGACGCGCTAATCTTAGTAACTACTGAAACGATTTGAAAAATTATTTTTGCATTAGATAGCCCGTCTATTGAGGAAGGCTATAGGCTATATATCATCATGCTACTACCCAAGCGAACGGAGCAGTAGTCATAAATGTCAACAAATTGGGCAGACTTCTTTATACATAATTGTGAAACTATGTACATATATTATTATATACATAGACTTTAATGACTATATATAAACAACTTTTCAAACGGAGGTTTTTATTTCAGGAATGCTTTTTTGTGTATGTTACTGTTGTATCTTCATCTTTATCATAATCTATTTTTAAAAAATAGGCTACAACCTCAAGTGTAATTTTTTAATGTTATTTTGTATGTAAGTCAGTTTATCTTTTGCGTTAAAAGTCCTTTTAATTAACGAAGAAGGATTGAATTAACTTACTTTTCTTACTTACCGATTGTGTAAACTTAAGAAAAATCAGATTATCTATGACTTATCTTTCACAGTCTTCAAGAATAATAAATCAAGCTGATTAGCAATTTTTATTTAAAAAATGACGAATTAATTGTTAAGTATTTATATATACACTACTAGCGACGACTCACCCTCAATTTGCTCGGGTTCGTCCCTAGGTTGATTCCCCATACATACTTTCATCCCCATTTTTACCCCCTTAAGGAATGATTTCTGAGATAAAAACTAATCTATGTGATTCCCAGGGTTTAAAAGTATCTTCTTACCAAATTTTATCTGAATCGGTCTAGTATTTTCGGAGCTTATTCGGTACAAGCAAACAAACAAATAAAAAAATCTTTTCTCTTTACAATATTAATATAGATAAGAATAAAATACCTTGTGCGTTAGTCCAGATCATAGTCTAATTTACAGTAACAAACATACAAACGCATACAAACTTTCGCATATAATAAAAGTAGTCCTACTATAATATCTACTTGTAAATTGAAAAGGAATATAAATCGTAATTTTTATCTGAGGTAAGTAAGTACGTAGAAACAATAAAACATAAAAAGTTTTAAAAGATCCTAAAAGTTTTAGGATTGAATCCCATCAGACGCGCGAAGTTGCCTAGCAGGTAGCAGGTGCAAATCCCCAATTTTAAGGGTAGCTCGAAACTTATAAAAAAATCTAGTGTGTTTTACAGTTTACGACTATAACACATTCAACATCCTTTTGAATAAAGTCATGTCTCACAGTTAAGTTATTTAGAAATGATTTGGATTGAATTTTAGAAGATAAGATAATTTAATAAGTAAAAGTTGGTTCTGAAATCTTTCATGCATTACAGTTATGGCATAAACAATTTCAAAATATTTTTCAAGCTACTTATTTCTCATCATTTTGTTTTTCACTTTTCGTTGATTCTGGGATAATGAGTCTTCGGATATTTTTTAAATACTTGTTGAGGTTAAAGATGTTTATTTTAGCAAAAAAAGAAAAATGTTCACTTAAATTTAGATAATTCAAATATGTAACAAGTACAAGATCTTAAACAGTCTACTTACTACTTTGCATGTCATTAAGTTAGACACTAAGTAGTGTTTCAAGCTTTTTTGAAGATATTAAAGTTTTTGACTCCTTTATATTAATTAGCAAAGAATTATAAAGCATGCTCCTTCAAATGTAATTTTATTTTAAAGTTATTATTCTATATTAAGTATTAGTCCTAGGGAATTAAAAATATAAGTAAGTGTGTTTCAGGTGTTATGTGCGTGAGTTTTATGTAGTTAGAAAAGTTGTTTGGGAGTGAAAGGTTTTTGAATTAAATATTTTTTTTTGTTTTAGTTTCTTTCTTGTTGTCTAGGTGATCTAGATTACGGCAAATAGGCGAATGGTCAATAAGGGTGTCGACAAAGTAAAGTATCTGTGTATAGGAAACAAAGTATTGTATAGAATATGATATGATTGATATGAAATACATAATTGGCGTAATTTTTTTAAAGTCTATGCAAGTAATTATTTTATTTAAAATTCTCTATAATTATCACAAGTAGAATTCTATAATGTTCGTCACTTTTAATGACATCATATGAACAGGACAATTAATAAAGTTAATATTACATATTAATATTGATTGTCTTCATAAATAATTTATGAAGACAAAGCATTCAGATTGTATATTAAAACAATATAAATACTTAAAAACAGGTTAAACTTACAGAAAAATCTCATTTTTTTTATCGTCAAAGGCAAACTAAACTGTGTAGTACTAATTATAAGAAGAAACCTGATAAACTGACTGTTTTTCTAAGGCAACTAGAAAAATCATTTGTATCCATATGTGGATACTTTTGAGATATATACCTATTCTTACGTAATACGTAGACTACCTATACTTGAACATTTTTAGATGTGACATAACAAAATAGCGTGATGTAAAAAGTGCAATAATCCCAATGGATGAAATTATTAGTAGCATTAGGTGTTATCAGTCTTTATGAAGTAGTAAAATAATTAATATTAACGATAATTATGTCTGGACAACATGCTAGCTAGATTGTTGATTGACAGATACCTATTTGGTACATGAAGGCTACACACGCGATCTTGGCACTATGTGGCAACATTAATCAAAACAATTAATTCTCCCATTGTTCATTTAATTACGTAAAAATATTTATAGTTATTCTTTAAAAAGGCGTATCAATGCCATATCAGTTAGAAAAGTACAGTACCTATACATATTTTTATACTCGTAGCCTATACATATAATAAAACTAGAGGTCGAATGTCTGTACATAGAAAAAAATTTCTAAAAACCGAGTCAGGGGGAAGAGAAAACAAATGAAGTTTTTTTTTTCAAATTTTTTGTTTCTCTGTCTGTTTGTATGGGCTAGTCTCCGAAACTATTAGACCGATTTAAATGAAATTTTGCATGGTGGTACCTTATATCCCCGGTTAACATTTTAGATACTTTCCATCCCGGAAAAATGGTTTCCGTGGGATAGATCTGTTTGTGCTTGTCGAGCGGACCGAGGGTGAGCCACTAGTTGTTAAATATTATTTTAAAAAGTTTTAGCTTAAAACATTCATAGGTATACGTAACTAAATAATTCATTAATAACTATTGTTTTTGTAGGTTTCATAAAGTTACATACATTATTTACAATGTAATTTTATAAATCACATTTAGTTTTTATATTTTAAATTTTTAGGCAAAGACTAAATTTTATTGCGTTCTCATTGTAAAATAATAGCGGTCAGTGTAAAGTAAATGAATACGACTGACCCTGAACTATATTAGATCGCATGTCGTATGAAAGCTATAAGCCTCT